ACGCACGATTACTGGTGAAGAGCACTTGTCCTAGGTAAGGGCGGTAGCCCCCGTAGGGTCACCTGTGACTACGTCTGTGGTCTGGTGTGACTTTATGAACTGCTTTCTTCAGACGCGCCGGTCGTAACCGTGACACCGAACACCGTTATCATCAACGAGTCCATGGACATGGTGCTGTTCTGCTCCTTCGACGCCAACCCCTTCAACATCAGCTCCGTAACGTGGTGAGTCTTTCCGGGCGACTCCAGCTCCGGCGCAGCTCATGTGAGCCCGTGCAATGCGTTCGCGTCAGCCAGCTGAGTCACGCGCGGCGCGCCGTAGCACCCGGGGCACTCCTGCTCGGCAGATTGGCTCTGAACGCTTTGCAAGGGTCTGTTGGCCGCTGAGGTCCCCGCGGAGCCACCAGGGTCTGTTGGCCCCTGAAGTCGCCGCGGGACCACAAGGGTCTGTTGGCCGCTGAAGTTGCCGCGAAGCCACGAGGGTCTGTTGACCGCTGAGATCCCCGCGGAGCCACCAGCGAACAGCTCCGCTGAGTAAGGTCCATCCCACCGAATAAACCGCCCTCGGCGGAGAAGCTAAGCGGCTCTTCTGTAAGCCCCCCCCCCCCCCCCCCACACACACCCTCTCTTTTTCTGTTGTTACAACGGTACTTCCGTCTTGTGAAAACTTACACAAATCGGGTACAAACTCGAAACACGATGCAGCAGTGTGTCATGACCACTCGCAATCTATTGAGGGCAGAGCAGCAGTCGGTGGGCCTACTTACCCGGGGCGCCTTAGGCGTGCTCTGGGGCTGTTAGCCAACACCAGTGACCAAAAAACCCTGGTGAAGTTCACACCCCCGCCGGCTCGGACCAGGCAGGCATTCTGAACAGCGGACGAGCGGCCCGCCGCGAACCAGCACCAGCTCTCTGTTTCACCGCGACCGGGTGCCGAGTGCCGGACGAGGCTGGGTGCCAGGTGCCGGACGGGCGCCGGACGCGGCTGGATGCTGGATGCCGGACGAGGCTGGGTACCGGGTGCCAGATGGGCAGCCTGCCGCGGACCAGCACCAGTTCTCTGTTTCACCGCGACTGGGTCAGACGGCCGCAGGGGGCGTCTGACAGGCTGTCGCACCGTGCGTCGACCGCGCGTCTGAGGGCGACCGGCGGTGCCGCAGGTACCGGGACGGCCGGCGGCTGGACCTGCTGCACGCGCGGTACTCGGGCGGTACTCCGGACCAGCCGGCACTGGTCGTCAGGAACGCTTCCAGGCGAGACTCGGGCCTGTACCGGTGCGAGGTGACCAACACCGTCGGAAAGGGACTGTCCAAGAGCCAGGCAGCCGTCACCGTCGTCTGTAAGTGTTGAAGCTGTGGAGGTCCCTTAGGCTCATCAGACTCTTCTCCCAGGACCCGGACAGTATGTATTCTTGTGTGGCCTTGGATTGATTACTACCAAGTCAATAGTTGAATCGCGTAAACAAGTGAATTCTTGGAGGACGACTCGGCTACATTTCAATCGGTGTGCAAATTGATCCTGACAGCAACAGCAAAGGATGTGTCATCACCATCCGTGCTGAGCAGAGGTGTAGCGGACCCCAGCGGCACACCTACACGTTGTGCAGGCTGCATTCAAATTTAGGTGAATCAAGAGTCTAGTATGCTGAGCTCCAGTGGACCTATCAGGGCCAACACTAGCCGCGCTCTTGCCTCGGTAGACCGTACACAGACTCTGACAGACTATACAGCCGCGGCCGCAGTCCAGGCCCTCTTCTGCCTTCCAGTTCGTCCGCAGTCGCTACCATGTTCATCTCGCCCCTCCGGCCCGCCCGGCGTGCCTGCACCGATGACACCGTGCCTTGGCTCCACAGTTCGTCCGCAGCCGCAACCATGTTCATCTCGGCCCTCCGGCCCGCCCGGCGTGCCTGCACCGATGACACCGTGCCTTGGCTCCACAGTTCGTCCGCAGTCGCTACCATGTTCATCTCGCCCCCCCCCCCCGCCCGGCCCGCCCAGCGTGCCTGCGCCGATGACACCGTGCCTTGGCTCCACAGTCCGTCCAGCAGTGTTGCTGACCATCAGCCCGAGCCTCGTGCTGGAGGCGGAGCGGCAGGACGTGACGCTTCGCTGTCTGGTGGCCGACGGCGCCGAGGTACGACTGGACCGCGTGGCCTGGTACCGAGACGACCACCTGCTACGCAAACAGCCTGCCGACAACTGCACGCTCAACGGTGTCGACGGTGAGCGCTCCACGCCGCTGGGTCATCGCAGCGTGCTGTCAGCACCAGCCGACGCTGAGTCATCGCAGCGTGCTGTCAGCACCAGCCGATGCTGAGTCATCGCAGCGAGCTGCTGACCGTCATCTGCCGTTTTGGCGCGTCATGAAATATGTTGGTGAATTTACTTGGCAAGTGCCAATAGCAAACTTGCAGACACAGGACTTGGAAACTTTGCGGAAGCGGGAAGGCCGGAGTTTATTTACCTTATATGCAGTAAAAAATTGCACGGGGCTGCTCCGTCTTTTGACGCATCTTTCGGAGTCTTGAGAAAGCTGGACGCAAACGAAGTAGGCAAAAACAGAGATTTGACACTCAAGTATTGGCTTGAAAAGTGAGATGAAGTTCATGGTTATGAAGCTATACAACATTAAGTTGTATAGCTTCATGGCTTTATGTCAAAAATTTTGAGCTCCGTCCTTCACAATGATCTATTTCGTTTTCTTCCTGATTTCCCAAGACGCCGAAAGGCATGTACACAAAGCTACTACACTTGCATTACTAAGGCTTGGTGATCACATGCAAACAACACGTGGCATTTCCAACGGTCTTCCGCGAAATTATTCATGTGGTTAAGCATTATCTTTCGGGAAACCTTTGATCAGATAAGGCCGTCGAGTTCTAGGATTGCTTTGAAATCATGTCGTGATACGCCTTCAATGGCTCCTTTGAAGGAAGACCTCGAGCCAATGATGACGTGTTCCTCGTTTGTAGGGAGCTTTCCGTGGTCGGTAAACTGTCCTCCGAAGCAAAATCCAGCGGACAGTTCACCAACTTTGCATGGAATGCTAAAAAAACTCAAGATTAGCCTTAGCACCACATTTCGACAGAAAGCTGCGGCTTGTAACGGTTTAAAGTTCCCGGGCCATTTTTTCTCGGACTTAGTTTAAATAGCTGTTAGGTTCTGTCTCTGACTGAGCTTTCCGAAATGTGGCTCAGGTTTGACAAAATGTTAAGGCGATACCAGGACAGTAAATCTGTTGATAAATGTGTACCTCACCCAGTTGGAAAATAACATAGAAGACATCTCCAATAAAATACGGGTACACAAGTACCATGAATGGAAATCATCAATGCAATAGCATGCACAGCTGGCAGTTAAATACTAGTGGAAGTATCAGATCGCAAGGATTTCGCCCATCGTGTTATCCACATTCGTTGAACGGATTAACTGAAAATAGTCATCGTTTCTTGCTTCAAGGGCCTCAGAAAAATGTATAGAAAGTTGATGTTCAGACGCCTTTTGAGAAAACTTTTCGGAAATCCCCACGGGAAAGTTCCTGGGAAGTTGACTGTCGGAACCTTCTATCTGAAACTTTAAAAATCGATGGGGACTTCCTTTTGAATAAAGCTTTCCGACCAATCCTTATCTTCTGGGAAATTTACCACGCCCACGTGGAATCGGCTGAAGGAGAGTGTGGTCGCCGTCACCGGTTCTATGTCTGTGGTGTCGGTACAGCGGCTGGTGTCTGTAGTGTCGGTACAGCGCTGGTGTCTGTAGTGTCGGTACAGCGGCTGGTGTCTGTAGTGTCGGTACAGCGCTGGTGTATGTAGTGTCGGTACAGCGCTGGTGTCTGTAGTGTCGGTACAGCGCTGGTGTCTGTAGTGTCGGTACAGCGGCTGGTGTCTGTAGTGTCGGTACAGCGGCTGGTGTCTGTAGTGTCGGTACAGCGGCTGGTGTCTGTAGTGTCGGTACAGCGGCTGGTGTCTGTAGTGTCGGTACAGCGCTGGTGTCTGTAGTGTCGGTACAGCGGCTGGTGTCTGTAGTGTCGGTACAGCGCTGGTGTCTGTAGTGTCGGTACAGCGGCTGGTGTCTGTAGTGTCGGTACAGCGCTGGTGTATGTAGTGTCGGTACAGCGCTGGTGTCTGTAGTGTCGGTACAGCGCTGGTGTCTGTAGTGTCGGTACAGCGGCTGGTGTCTGTAGTGTCGGTACAGCGGCTGGTGTCTGTAGTGTCGGTACAGCGGCTGGTGTCTGTAGTGTCGGTACAGCGGCTGGTGTCTGTAGTGTCGGTACAGCGGCTGGTGTCTGTAGTGTCGGTACAGCGGCTGGTGTCTGTAGTGTCGGTACAGCGGCTGGTGTCTGTAGTGTCGGTACAGCGGCTGGTGTCTGTAGTGTCGGTACAGCGCTGGTGTCTGTAGTGTCGGTACAGCGCTGGTGTCTGTAGTGTCGGTACAGCGCTGGTGTCTGTAGTGTCGGTACAGCGGCTGGTGTCTGTAGTGTCGGTACAGCGCTGGTGTATGTAGTGTCGGTACAGCGGCTGGTGTCTGTAGTGTCGGTACAGCGCTGGTGTATGTAGTGTCGGTACAGCGGCTGGTGTCTGTAGTGTCGGTACAGCGGCTGGTGTCTGTGGTGTCGGTACAGCAGCTGGTGTCTGTGGTGTCGGTACAGCGACTGATGTCTGTGGTGTCGGTACAGCAGCTAATGTCTGTGGTGTCGGTGCAGCGACTGGTGTCTGTGGTGTCGGTACAGCGGCTGGTGTCTGTGGTGTCGGTGCGGCGGCTGGTGTCTGTGGTGTCGGTACAGCGGCTGGTGTCTGTGGTGTCGTTACAGCGGCTGGTGTCTGTGGTGTCGAGACAGCGGCTGGTGTTGCCGTGCAGGTGGACCGGCCGGCGCCCGGGGCTCGATAGCTGACTTCTGCGGCCGGGACCCAGCCCAGCTGCGTCTGCTGCGGGTGGACCGGGCCCAGCTGGGCTCGTACCGCTGCGCCGGTCAGACGGCGGCCGGCTGGGGCCCCATCTCGCCGGCGCGCCAGCTCAGCGTCCACTGTAAGCTCAGCTCACAGCAGTTCAGCGGCGCCAGATGTCTGCGCCAGAATGGGCTCACAGCGCAGGCCATAGCACCCGTGCAGGCCAAAGCACTGCACGAACAGTTCCATAGCCCATAATGTCCATGATTCACAATGCCCATAATGCTAGCGGTGTCCACTGCGCGAACATAGCTTCGGTGCTATGGATAACTTGTAACTTCAGTTGACCATTGCATGAACAGGCTTTCAACACAGCCTATAGCACACCGCGTCCGCTGCAGGGTCAGGCCATAACACAAACAGACTCATAGGCCCATAACAGCCGGTGAACTTTACCTCAGCATGTTCATAGCGCAACTCGTAATGTCTCTGTTCACCACACAAACTGATCCATAGCACAGTTTATAGCACCCGGCATTCATGTTACGGACAGACCCGTAGCGTAGCCCATAACACGCTCATATAACATGTTCACATAACATAGCAGCCCGTGGTATGCTCTTGTTAGCGACATTGGATGCGTCATTGACATGAACATGCCCCATGACACCGCCCAAACAAACGGCGTCCATCACACAAACGGCGTAGCAAAGACGCATGGCCCCCTTCTGTTGCGATCGAATCATTGTGATATCTACGTTGAACTATTTCAAAGAGGCCTATGGTTATGATTCCTTGTCATATTATCTCGCTTTCCAACAATTCCTGCACCGGCAACTGCACACAGACGCTGCAGTCATTGACATGCCTTAGTTATGATATCAGGCGGGCGAAAGACATGCTTACATGCGTTTCAGATCCGCCCAAGAACTCGGCTCTGGTGTACCGGCCAGCTGTCGTCCTCAAGGGCTCCCCTCTGACGCTGACCTGCGACCTGGATGACCCCGGATACCCCCAGGCTACCAGAGTACGTTCGTTTTGCATGTTAGTGTTGGGGAAAGCGTCGATATCGGAACCCTAGCTGAACTCATTGCAGGTCAGACTTGAAAGTACCGTGGCTTACACCGTGGTTTCGCGCTCTGCACGCCTCAGCTCTGTGGCCTCCGAGCCCTGTCTTCAGTACAGCCCACAGTCTACAGTGGGACGCTCGCCCTCAGCTCTGTGGTCTCCGAGCCCTGCCTTCAGTACAGCTCACAGTCTACAGTGGGACGCTCGCTCCCTTCGAAAGCTCACTGACACTGACATGTTGCCCTCCACCCGCCACCACGCTCACGCTGTCGCGATGTGTCGGCAGTACATCTGGATGCGCGGCCAGCACGTGTTTACCGACATGACGGAGAGGACGTGGAACATCTCGTCGGTCTCCCTGCAGGACAGCACCAACTTCAGCTGCGTGGCCACCAACAGCGCCGGCAGGAGTGGTGTGAGCCGAGCTGCCATCACCGTGATGGGTTAGTGAAGGGCACGACCGTCACATTGGCATGCTGTACACTTACCTTAGGAAGATCAAATAAAATAGGGCATTTGTCCGTCCCGGTGGCTCAGTTGGTTAGAGCGCCTGCCTTCCGATGCACCCACCCGTGGCGAGGTGGGTTCGAGTCGCTTTAGGGCGCTCGCTATATGCCCTTGACAGGTATGGCCTGCGGCCGGTGGCAGCGGTCGCGCTAAAGGTCAGTTGACGTCAGAGGGCAGGACGGACCGTGCCGAGCATTGCGGCACGTTAAGCTTTCGCCACCAAATTCTGCCGTTGCCTGGAATTGCGCGATCGGATGGTGGGGTCAGGGCTCACACAACAAGCACTGCTTAGCGTGAGCTCTGATTCCGGAAATCCATCCATTCAAAGGGTTCGGATCAAATCTTTAAAAAAAAATATGTCGGAAATAAGAGGATCGGTTAGAAAGAGCGTAGAAAGTAGTAGTAAGAAGCAACAATTGCCAGAAGTGACAACTGTGGTGCCCTCAGCAAGCTTGGATGCGAGCTGGGGGTTCGTTTTGCTTTTTGTGCATTCTGGTGATATCTTTCACGCATTCCATTACGACATGATAGTTGTATCATGGCAATCACCGTTTTCGTTGGTCTGAATCATGCGATCATTGTTCACCAGGTAAGCCGCGGTTTATCCAGGAGCTGCCGCCCCACGTGGGTACTCAGCTGAACTCGTCTGTGGTCTCCCTGACATGTCGAGTGGAGTGTTTTCCTCTTTGCGAGCTCCGCTGGTTCAAGGACGGCCAGGTGAGCGGCTGTTATATTTTCTCTGATGGTGTTTTGTTGTTCTTGTTGTTCTACAGCATCGTGTATCGCGAAATCCCAATGGCGCGACCACTTTCATATGTGGGCTTACATGATCACCCCCCCCCCCCCCGAAATTATGGCTTCGCCTAGACTTCAGTTCAATTTGTATTGCATTCAGACCGAGGGAAACACAGAAAGATACGGCGAAATGGCTGAGATGTATGGTAGGTTATAAGGGGTCGCAACGGGGGTCACAAACAAAACGCGAGTTAGGGGGAGATACCTGATCAGCGGGATGCCAGGTGTTTGTCGTTTGTGACTTTCCTGCATTCAACATGTTAAGCATGCATTAAAGGGCATAATTACAGCAGTGACAGCGCGGAATGACGTCACTTGCGCGCTAAGGTTGGACCGCGCTACACATCACCAACTGTCCGCCCGCACCAGCCGCACACTCTTCCTCCAGCGTATCGAGAACGGCGCTGTGTACAGCATCAACAGCGACCACCGAGCTCCGGACCTTCGGACCAACACTCTGCAGACGGTCACGTCCACCGTCGCCTGGAACACGACGTCCTGGCCAGAGCAGGCGTCGCAGGGAGCGGCCAACACGTCCCGCTTCAGCTGCCGCAGCACGTCCAACGGGCTGGGGCCGGCGGTCGTCAGCACGGCGCTCTTCCACCTCGAGTGTGAGCGGCGGGAGGGTGGTGCGCGGGTCTGTCCAGGCTCACCTCGAGTGTGAGTGGCGGGAGGGCGGTCCGCGGGTCTCTCCCCGTTGGGCTGACTGATGGCCGGCAGCGGCCGTCTGAACGCTGTGCACAGTCTCGTCATCCCGTGGACGTGGACTGGCAATGGACGTGGACTGGTAATGGACGTGGACATGGAGCGGTAATCCCGTGGACGTGGGCTGTTAATCCCACGGACGTGGACTGGTAATCCCACGGACGTGGACTGGTAATCCCACGGACATGGACTGGTAATGCCACGGACATGGACTGGTAATGCCACGGACATGGACTGGCAATCCCACGGACATGGACTGGTAATCCCATGGACATGGACTGGTAATCCCATGGACGTGGACTGGTAATCCCACGGACATGGACTGGTAATCCCACGGACGTGGACTGGTAATCCCACGGACATGGACTGGCAATCCCACGGACATGGACTGGTAATCCCACGGACGTGGGCTGTTAATCCCACGGACGTGGACTGGTAATGGACGTGGACATGGAGTGGTAATCCCGTGGACGTGGACTGGTAATCTCACGGACATGGACTGGTAATCCCACGGACGTGGACTGGTAATCCCACGGACATGGACTGGTAATCCCACGGACATGGACTGGTAATCCCACGGACGTGGGCTGTTAATCCCACGGACGTGGACTGGTAATGGACGTGGACATGGAGTGGTAATCCCGTGGACGTGGACTGGTAATCTCACGGACATGGACTGGTAATCCCACGGACGTGGACTGGTAATCCCACGGACGTGGACTGGTAATTCCACGGACGTGGACTGGTAATCCCACGGACATGGACTGGTAATCCCACGGACGTGGACTGGTAATCGGTTGTCGCTGAACCTGATCGCCAGGAGGGGCAGCTGACGCCGATGCTGCAACGCTAACGATCGCGTGGCCCTGGTTTGATCAGAGAGCGTGACGACTGCCGCCGTATTGCGTTGGCCGCCTGTGACTGGTGACCCGGTGCAGTGATGCTGGCTCAGGGCGGTGTGTGATGACCTCGGCCCGATCCTCAGCCCCGCCGCACAACGTCAGCGTAACTTCTCCTGTTGTGGAGGTTGTGGAAGGCGAGGCGGCCGCCGTCGTGTCCTGCTCGTCAGACGCCTTCCCGGAGGCTGCCTACACCTGGAGTCGGGGTGAGCGCACCAGTCTCGGCGCATCAGTGAAGTGAAGTGAGAAAGACACGGTTGAAGCCGCATGCGGATCTTACCCGGGATTGACAAAATCCAGCCGGTTCCCTGACATCGTGACCATTTCCACGGACTTTCCAGCTCTGTTTGGTCTACATCGCCCGGAGTTGAATTTGCCATTTTCACACTATCACTATCTTTAGCGATCTACTAACCTTTAGATAAAAGGACCCGAGTCATTTGCATTGACTATGCGAACACAACCACAGCGAACTATGACAGAGAAGAATAATCCTATTAAACGACAACTACGGCGAACTATGACAGAGAAGAATAACCCTTTCAAACGATAAGCTGATTGCGTTAATCGGGTTTTGCCTCCGTCTGTTGATATGTGCCGGTTAATGGTGTGCAATTAATTCTGGGCCAGTCGTTCGTGACCTGGCAGTTTATTTCCGGAAAAGCGCAGCAGCTACACGGCAGGGCACTGGCTTATTAGCCGTTCGATGCTGTCCTAGCACCACCTATTCCCTTGTTTTGATCGACGATCCCAGCCATCCACAGTGCGCTGGCTCCGGAAGCCGGCTGCGTTGTGATCTGATTTTTTTTTTCTACGCCATTACCCAAGAACAGATAACCAGGAGTGCCCCTCCCTCAATCCCAGCGACGCAGTAAACCGTGCGTTAACACCAGAAAACATAAAATCAAGTCGCGGCACTCCCAGCTAGGAAGATGAGACAAACTTAAAAAAAACAGGCGAGGAGATGGAGCAGACCCGAGGGAATTGTGTTATGTGAGAGGTAGGGAAAAATCATAGATGAAAAGGCTTAAAGTAGTCATTAGCCAAAATCAGCTAATGACAGCCCGCTACAACCGCCCAATAATCTACAACCACTCAATTCCCCGTGTTAGTAAGGGTTATAGTCACAAGTCGGAGGGGGCAATTACCTGGTCATTTTTGTGCTGGGTTTTGGGCTGGATTTCCAGGGAGTCCACCCAGCTAAGCAGAGCTTGTTGCTGGGAGAAATTGCTGGGAAAAATTGGGAGTTGCTGATTGACGCAACCCTGTTCATAATATAAAGCCGGGAGTCAATGCGAGTGAACTGATCAAAATTGTCTCATGGCGCGTTTAGTATGACCGAAGTGGTTTCATGAAAATCATGACCGGGACATTCCGCTTTACGGTTATTACTTGGCCGAAACTATGCTTCCAGTGACCCAACCGAGGCAGTCTCGTGCATTTCCTGGTGGCGGTGGTAGTCCGCTTTTGTATGATAACGTCACATGAGCGGCGCCCTTCACTGATACAAGGGGTGCTCGCCTGGAGCCGGGTTACGCTACATGATTTGCACCATTGCAGACGGCGAGACGGTGCAGGCGGGCAGCGAGCTTCGCCTCGGTGACGGAGGAGGGGTGCGGCGCTCGCAGGCCGGCCACTACGTCTGCCACGCCCACAACCGGCACGGCCACGCCTCCGCCGATCTCGACGTCCGCGTGCTCTGTAAGGGCAGCGGGAGACGGGATTATGGCCGCCTTGCAAACGTAGAAACGATAGACAAAAAAACACAGATATGTATGTCGCAACTTGGTCGGAACGCTGGCGAGACAAGCCGAAAGCAATTGTCAGTGTCGACAACAGGTCATTTGGGGAACCAGTTCGTATTAACCGCGAATAACCCGCGCGGCGGTCCACATGACAGTTCGTATTAACCGCGAACAACCCGCGCAGTGGTCCACATGACAGTTCGTATTAACCGCGAACAAACCGCGCGGCGGTCCACATGACAGTTCGTATTAACCGCGAATAACCCGCGCGGCGGTCCACATGACAGTTCGTATTAACCGTGACTAACCCGCGCGGCGGTCCACATGACAGTTCGTATTAACCGCGAACAACCCGCGCGGCGGTCCACATGACAGTTCGTATTAACCGCGAACAACCCGCGCGGCGGTCCACATGACAGTTCGTATTAACCGTGACTAACCCGCGCGGCGGTCCACATGACAGTTCGTATTAACCGCGAACAACCCGCGTGGCGGTCCACATGACAGTCTGTTTTGCGAGGCCAGGTGTGATGCTTGAGAACAGTGCTGAGCCGGCGGTCTCGCCGCCACGCGCCTCTGTCTCACCAGACGCTCCAGTCTGGCCGGCGTGCTCCAGGCGCGGTGTTCACCAGCTGGCGTTCTCCAGGCGCGGTGTTCACCAGCTGATCTGTGGGTGTGAGCAGCGACTGGCCGTGTCCCCAGACGCTCCGGAGTGCCGGCTGCGGCAGCGGCGCACCGAGGCCGGTTCGCTGCTGGTCTGCCAGGTGGACAGCGCGCCTGCCCAGCTGACCTTCGTCTGGGCCAGGGACAACCAGACGGTGGTGGACGGCGTGGCGACGGTCGGCGCCGTCAGCACACTGACCGCGCCGCCGCACGGCGACGGCTCCCTCGTCTCCTGCCGGGCCAGCAGCTCACTCGGGGTCGGCCCGCCATGCACCCTGCTCGTCGCAGGTGCGGCTCGTCACGTCTGGTGCACTCCGCCCTGTGCTCGGTGAACTTTGGCAGTTTGGCGCTTCCTCCAATTCGTTGATTTTTTTTCCTTAGTTCGACCCAATTCTCGGTAAGGGTAACATCTTGGCTCAAACTTTAAACAGCTCCGGTCGGGTTAACTTTTAAATGCAACCTGCAAGTTGGCTTTAACTTCTACGCGCAGTTTCGCCTGTGGAGCAAGACGTGGGCGGGCTGCCAGCGCGCTCCGCACACGGCCTTCGCAACTTTCGGCACGTTCGGCAAGGCGTCAGGGGTCCCACGCGGTCCGGACCCGCCGCAGTCTGGCGGCAGCCGGCTGCTGCCTGAATTCACTGCAGCAGTAGACCTCAGCTCAATGCATGGGGCTGATTCGAACTCTGGCTACTCGGCACAGCTTTGGGTCAGCTCCTGCTGACTCGAGGTGTGGCCGGGCTCCAGAACAGAGTCCTACCGGGTCAGTTCTGGGGACGGGGGCTTTGGAAACATTCCGTGGCATGGGCTGCGTGAAAGCCTACATGGAGCATAGGGAGACATGCAAGGAAATGGCTTTTATTCCGCGCACATGCGAACTGCCCTACAACCGGTGTATGATGCTACTGTCATGTCTGTTCACGCGCCTCACCGAAGACTCGGCTGGCCTGGCTCCGACCCGGACCCATAGCAAAAATTCAAAGGAGTCTCTTCCACCCGGACTTAACGGGACCCGCGTCGACTCCGGAATCGACCCCGACATCGGTCGGAATCCAACACCAGCCTGGTTGGCAGGCGGCGGCGACAGCTGGGCGGAGCGGATGAGCACCGACACTCTGACACTGGCGATCGCTGCCACCGGCTCCCTGCTCCTGCTCCTGCTCCTGATCGGCGGTGGACTCCTGCTCCTGCGCCGCAGACGCGCCGACAAACGTAAGTCGGCCGCGCCGGGCGCAGCTGGGCTGTTGGTCGAACTGGCCTTGCTTGAATGATAATCGCATGACTGAACACACGATGGACGTGTTATTTGTGGCATGTTCTCTGACGACCCGACCATGTGGGGTTTGATTGGTAATGTCAGGCAAACATTTACGCCCTGAAATGATGGCTGCCGTCATGACCGCGCCAGAAACGGTGTACTGTTGAGAAACGAAGGGAATGCGGTGGCACATTGTCCTTTCGCCGAGCTTCTGTGCCCATTTGGAGACTGAAACGCAACTGCAATAGTTTTGGACAGTGTCATGTAGCCATAGTACTAACGTACCACACAGCGAGACACATACCACACCTGTCACGACCAGACTATTGTTTGCAGCACTCTTGCGGCATGGCTTAGGTGGACATTTCAAACGATTTAACATCACCATGCTCCTTTTCTCCAACAGATGGTGTCTCCAGTCATCCCAAGGAAAGAGAGGCGTGAGTATCTTTTCAGATCGGATGCCTCTTGTCGCCTAAAACCAATTGAAAACATTTTTTCACGTCAACAGGATTTAGAAAAAGCGTTGCCAGTGACATGCTCCAGATCCTGAAAAAGCGCGGCGCTGAGCACTGGGGCGTGCCGGCTCCCCCCCCCCCCCCCCCTGCGATGGCTGACACCTTTGCCTCTGACTCCGACCGGGATAGCCTGTGCCGGTACGGAGGGCCGACGCTGGTGCGCTCGGTGCTCCTCCCGAGGTCTGCGGGCGCATCCTCCGGCCGGAGGGCAGGTAACGCGGGCGTGCGCCGCTCTCAGTGGCCGCCGCTCCACCCACAGCTCCTGTAGCACGCTGCTGCTGCACGCTTCGTGTGAGCCGAAATCCCGCTGGCATGAGAGACCTATCATCCCAATCGCAGCCACGAGTACCACAGATGGAACATTAGTGTGGGCTGTCCCCTCGAGTGGTGTGTTAGTACTGACACACCAGACGAGGATGGTAGTCCGGACAGCTTTTCCATCCGGGATACTGACACCTTGTCTCATTCTTGCAGTGTAAAGCCCCACCCGTGAATATTTCTAACGGTGCGCAAGACAGAGCAGTATGCGCTTTTTGAGTTTTTTTTTCGAGGAAAGTGCAGCCTAACACGGACGAGTAGAAAACAACCTGAAGAAGACAAGGTCGGCTGCGTATGTGGCGTAGAAAGGTGTCCGTGTCGTCGATTTCTTGCGACTTTCGGTATCGCTATTTATTGCAGAATGTACCCATTTTGAACTCAGTCCTCAGTTCAGAGAGCTTAACTGTTCATAAACAACACATCAGTTCAATGCACAACCTGTTAATTCAATACACACCCTCTTTATTCAATGCATAACCGGTTTATTCAATACACAACTTGTCAACTCAATAAACAACCTATCAACTCATAACACAGCCTATCAACTCAATACATGACCAATCAACTCAATACATAACCTATCAATTCAACACATAACCTTTAAACACAATACACAACCTATCAACTCAATACGCAAACGATCTACACATCTCCGACGCGCAGTTCTAAATGGCGGACGCAATGTTGAGTCTAAGGTCAGTCTTTGACCATTGGACCGAAACGAATCTGGGTCACGGGTGCCCGCTCAGACCGCTCGGCGGGGGCGCCCGCTCATACCTCCCCAGCTGTCGGCGGGGCGCCCGCTCAGACCTCAGTTGTCAGCGGGGCGCCCGCCCACGCCTCGGCCGTCGGCGGGGCGCCCGCTCATACCTCCCCAGCTGTCGGCGGGGCGCCCGCTCAGACCTCAGTTGTCAGCGGGGCGCCCGCTCAGACCTCAGTTGTCAGCGGGGCGCCCGCCCACACCTCGGCCGTCGGCGGGGGCACCCGCTCAGGCCTCAGCTGTCGGCGGGGCGCCCGCCCACACCTCGGCCGTCGGCGGGGGCACCCGCTCAGGCCTCGGCCGTCGGCAGAAAGCCCGGCCGTCGGCGGGGGCACCCGCTCAGGCCTCTCCAGGCGTCGACCCGGCGTCTCACCCGCATTTGCGACGGATCGTTCATCCAGCCCTGCCGGCCTTATCTGTGGCGAGCGGCCCTCCGTTTGACGAGCCGTCACCCGTTTGAGAGTGGTAGATCACTTTCAGTTCGTGACCACTCAACATCGGTACCCGGACTGGGCTCCCCAGCTCGAGATCAGTGGAGCCGCTCATCTGACATGCTCGCTCAGATCCGCCCGGAAGAGCGATGAGATCGAACCCGCCAGTTTGAGCACCGCCGCGTCTCCGATGTAACGGCTCCATCGCGGGCGGCCCGCTGCTGCATTTGTGCTGACAGCGCTCTAATAGTCCCTCCATACCACCTCAAGTCAAGGTCCATCAGCGTGGTTTGACGTCATTACTTGACTGGCGCCTTGTGTACTTGTTGACGCGTGCCGTGGCATGCCGCTCTCTTTGTGTGTGTATGACGCTGGCAGCATTAGATGCTTACGTCCACGCTCGGTCTATCAATGGGGCTTGGGCGGTCTGACGACTCTGCTATGGCGCCGGCTTGTCGGCCTGCCTTACAGGGGCTTCCAGGCGGCTTTGTATGCTGACCGGACCTTCCGTCCGGCGTCCCGTCGCCTTGAGTCGGCCGAATGCGGTCGCCTGCATGGTCCAGCCATCATCAGGCTGGCTCTGCTGCCTGTTTCTGTATGCTGTGTGTGTCACGTGTGCCTGCACGGCCTGGTCAGATGGCGCCGTTGTTTATCCCTCTGCGCTGTCTGTCACGTGTGCATGCACGGCCTGGTCAGATGGCTTCGCTGTCTATCCCTCTGGGCTGTCTTTCACGTCTGCCTGCACAGCCCGGTTAGACGGCGCCGCTGTCTATCCCTCTGGGCTGTCTTTCACGTCTGCCTGCACAGCCCGGTTAGACGGCGCCGCTGTCTACCCCGCTGTGCTGTGTGTCACGTCTGCCTGTACAGCCCGGTCAGATGGCCCCGCCGCAGCTAGCTGTCACGCTTGGTCGCCTTCTGTGTGCTGACTGTCACGTGTCCACCCGCACAGCCCGGCTGGCAGCGGCGACGGCCGGGATGGCCCGGTCGCCCGGCCCGTGCATAAGTGGCCCGTCAGGCCGGGCGTTCAGGTGCATGTGAGCAGCGTCCAATCGCTGAGCAAGCTCGGAGACCTCGCAGCCAATCACATCGCAGCACTGGGTTCACCCGACAAAGGTGTCGTATCTTTTTTGTTTCTCTCCAAGTGAGCGTTTACCCGTCAGGTAAACGCTCATTTGTTTGCTAAAGAGCTGTTGGTTATAAGTGCTCTTTTACGACTCAAGTTTGCTGTTTCGGATTGATGTCGAGTGGCTGATCTATTTAGCTTCAGTTGCAGTTTTTAGTTGCAAACTGTTGTTTGGTCAGCCGCCTTCGAAGCCTTTTGTCTGATAATGTAACTGTTTTCTATCTTAGCGGTTTGCTGGTGGGCTATGATTAATCCCATTTTATTAGGGGTTTTGACCACACATAGCCATACGCTGTTGTTGCGCGCTCAGTGCCGTTTTATTAATATATGCTCTTCCGTTCTAGTCTTAACTCTGAGAAGATTTGAGATCGAATCTGACTGGAAGGAGGACAAAGCTGATGGAGGTACGACATATTCCTATTCTTGTACTGGTGTAGGGTTTAATGTGTGTTTCCCGTTTACATTTGCACAACGTCTGTGTAGCCGTTGTTTTGTTATTCCATGTTTGCTGCGGTGTATCATATTCCAACCGTGCTGCCTCAGACAATCTTGAACCAGGTAGGAATCATCACGTCGCCACGCAGTACGAAAAGTTACCTGTGTTGCCCATTGAAAGCTTTGCGCAATTTACTAAGACGAAGATGAGTTGAGGTGAAGCCGACCCAAGTAAGAAACATGACAAAATATGATCCAACGGACCGCATTTGATAGAATAGTTTATGGATGAGTGGTGAATAGTTGACCTACCTGTGTTGGTATGCACGTCGCCGTCTCGCACGTGCGGGCACCGCTCAGCTCGGCTGTGGCCGACTCTGTGCGGCAGGAGCGGGTTCGCTGGCCGTGACGCCCCCGCCAGAAGACCGGGTCGTGTCGGAGCCGGGGCTGGGGCCGACCGGCGAGGGGGCCACCCACCGCAGCAGTCCTCCGTCGCTGGTGCAGGTACTGCGACGACACGCAGCGGCGTCACGCGCAGGCGTGAGATCGCCCCCCCCCCCCCCCCCCCCCCAGAGGCGCGCCCCCGCCGCCGCCGCCGCCGCCGCCAGACGCAGACAGACTGACAGACAGACAGACAGACGGCAGACGCAGACAGCTTGGGAGACTCTGTCTCCGCCGGCTCGGTGCCGAGACGGTACCTTCTGAAGCGTTTGTGGCCTTGCTACGGAAAGGAAACCGCCACATTTGTTCTGTGGATCGTTGCTTAATGGTATTTCGAGGGCGATGTACGGCAATGCGCTGGGCGGGGTCAGATCCTTTTCCCCATAATATATCGAGAACCACTGGCCGGTTCTCCGCTCAGAAAACGTCGATCGATTCGAAGAAATGCAGGCGATTTTCAAAACAAACAAACAAACAAAAAACCGCCTGTCCAGGAATTACGACACATGTTATGCCATACCCCATTTGGCACACAATGCAAAACGCTCTGTTTTTCCTGCAAGGGCTTGCCATGGCCTCTTACCTTTTGACATCTAGTGCAATATGATTGGAAATGCACATAATATAACCAGCATAAGTTTACACTTCAAACAATCGCTACCTATTCTAATTTTGCCCACAGTGTCTTCAGCGCACTTTCATAACGTTTTCCTTTTACCTCCCCGGCTCTGAGCCATCCTTGCACAACATATGAAATCTTGTTTTTATATATTGCATTTACATACTTGCTTTTCCCGAAATACCAATAAATCTATAATGTGTGAATAAATGACCAGATCTTTGGTCAATCGTCTGCCACCCGATCATTCGTACGCGGGCTAAGCTCTGGCAAGCATTATGTGGCCACTTTATAGATAAACACACAGAAGAGACAACTTGCGTAAAAAGGGAAAAGATAAAAGCAGGATACGACTGCATATGCCTGCATTGCGCATTTTTTTACGTCCTTAATAATTCACATGACGTGGACACGTACGAGGGTAAAAAGGCGACTGCTTTCAACATAGTTCCTTCGAAAAAGGGCCCTAGATCCGCTCGTAACATTACCTTTTCGCAATTTGGGCGTGGCAGGGATAAACAATATGTGAAAAGGCTCGAGGCTCCGAAAACCTGTGGTAAATCGTTTGGAAATGACACGCGCTAAAACTTGATGGAGGAATATATCCATCCCTGCACAAAATATTCCAACTAGAACACATTATACGATTAGCTATGCCAGGACAATCCCAGTGATTTGTTGAGCTGCTGTTGTCAGCGACCATCAAAATCGACATGGATGCGTGCGATACGAATGCAATATTTGCAATGGTGGGCGTCAAACCAGGATGGAAATAGTTTGTCTTTACTAGATATTAGCCAGCCGGCACGCTTATGAACGGACGTTCTGTTTGACTTCTGTCGCCCTTTCTGTTCTCACTGCCAGCCGTCGTGTAATTAAAGTGCCGCTCGAGATCGCTCGTTCGCCAATCGAACGCCGTTCTGTTTGACTTCGGCCAGCCTCGCTGGCGTGTGACGCGGAGCTGCGAGCCGGGCGGGTACTGCAGCCGGCGCCGCTGACGCCGCCGCCCTCCTCCAGCTCTGCGACGGCGGCACCAGTAGGCCGTCCAGCGGGCTCAGCCTGAACGACTCGTCTGGCTACGGGAGCTCGTTCTCGCGCGCTCCGCCGCTGTACGGCTCGACGCGCTCGACCAGCAGCCTGCAGCCGGCCTGGTGGCGCCCCCTGCGGCAGATGGATGCCGAGCCGAGCGGTGCCGGCCACTGGTCTGACTCGGAGTCGGCTCGGCCGGAATTGGGCGCCGCGCCCGACGGGGCGCCACCCGAGACGCAGGTGGGTCAGCGGAGGAGGAGGCGGTGGCCGGCCCACTCACCCAAGCTGGTGTAGCTTCGCCTTGTGGATGTCGTCGGCTCGGGATTACGTAGTTGCGCCGCTGTTGGAGCAGTGGCTGTAATGAAACTGGAGCTCGTCGTGTCAGTGATGATTTGGTCCGGTCGCGAGCCAGGGCAGAATAGCCGCTGGCCGACAGCCCCGCCGTTCTCTGCAGTAACCCGCTGTCTCCCACTGCGGCAGGCACCACGCAGCTGCGAGGCCGTCGTGGCCGCGGAGGGGCGTGCCCTGCCCAGCCGCCCGCGACCGGCACCGGTCGGCTGCCCCGGCCGCGCGCGCCTGGCCCGGGCCGACTCGCTGCAGCTGGAGGGCAGCGTTCAGCGCCAGCCGCCGCTTTGCCGGCCGGTCGGGGAGCCGCTGCGGCCGTCCCCGCTAGTCGCCAGTCCCGGCGGGCCCGTCTCCTACCACGTGAAGAGCGGCACGGTGCGCGGCGGCAGCGCCCACCGCGCCGCCTACCGCGCCGACCGGCACGTGCTGCGGGACGGCGAGGCCGGCCCACCCACCAGGTGGCACTGCGACGCCGGCGCCGCGCCGCGCGAGATGAACGTGTGACGGTGACGTCACCTGGCGCCAGGCGGGAGCTCGGCGTCGGAGGGCCATGCACTGCCTAGTACGGCCGGCGGTTGGGTGTGAATGGTCCGCTCGTGGTAACAGAGCATATCGAGCGGTAGCGTCAATGTCCTTCAGCCATTCGCTTTGTCTATGGGACTGGAGGCTCAGAGGGTGGCGATCTCTTCACATATCCGGCGTCGCTAATCCCTCACCCGTGGACGGGCGCTTCACCACCCACCACTATGGGGTGCAGCAAGACGAGCTTGGAAAGCCGCGGCCCGTTGTGGCCACAGTTAACCACAGGCGCAATGGACACGGCATGTGGCCCAGGCCGGACTCCAACGTAACGCGATGATCGATGTGCCACTTTTGTTTTGTGTTCTCAGTGAGTTTCGAGCGAACTTGGAGACATCGCAGTCGCGATGCTGGGCTTTTGTTCGCTCCAGACCGTTGCTGGTTTTGCAGTGTGGCGGGTTTCAGATTGTCGATGCCTAGTCTAAGCCGAACTGTGCTAAGGAGCTCATAACTGTTGTCATACAGGTAATCAGCCCTTGATTCGTGTGGCTTAACGTATCTGCGTTAATTGTGTTCCCCTGCCGGAACATGGTGCAACGTTGCTATGATGTGAAATCGTTCGAGGAAACGCCTTCTAGCTAAGGCCATAACCACAACGAAGCAGGAAGATGTCATTCTTAGTCAACACTGAGAGTTCAGCGATGTGGTTTGTGTGCAGCTTATACGTGTATTCATCATTGTGAATGCCCGAAGCCAGACATAAATGTGATACAAATATTAAACACAAAGCGAACTTGGGATTTTCGCCGCGTGCAGCGCCAGCGAGGCCGGACTACCGCAACATGCCTCAGTAATCCGCCGTTTGGCGCCGGAAGAATTATCGCTTAATGCATTCACCAGCCGCATTCCGGCGTAAGACCGGCATACTCTCATATTCATACTGGATGCCGTGGCACTCGCCAAACGACCGTCCGGAAGCAAATCAGCGAGTGCCGTGTTTTCCAGGGGGGGGGGGGAGGGGAGGGGGATACCGGATACCTTGAGTCATGTGTCGGCCGACCGGCCGACTGAATGCGCCGGTATTGACCCGGCCGTCCTGGCTGGGCACCCCCGTGGTGGTCCGTGGTAGCTTTGGGCTGTCGCAGCGACCAGCTGACACACTGACGTGTGCCGGCCAGCCGGCCGCGGTTACGACTTAATGTAACGCTGGCTGCCCAGAGATGGTCTCGATCGGGTGACGAGTCAGTCACCGCGTGCTGACAATGTCGTGAGATTCACCGCGTGCTGACAATATCGTGAGATTCAAAAGACGATTGTGTTTTGAGACCACCAGGCGGTGCCGCTCGATCGTGACTGATACAGCGGCGGTTACACCTTGCCGTCTATGCGAGGTATGTCTGCATAGACGGCACGGTAGTGTGTCTGCATAACGTCTAGGTATGTCTGCGAGTAAAATCCGTTCAAATTGAAACATGCTAAGCATTATTCCGAGGCGCAACTCGAATGATGTCAGGCAAGTTTCGTGTGCGTTTTACACTTTTATATCAGACCAACAAGATATCTCGTTTTGAAAAGTTTGCATTTGCAGTGAAAATGAGGATAACACCTGTGACGGCGGGTCCTCGCCTTGCATCATCTCGTATATTGCCACGATGACTTGACTTTGATCTTATGGTCGGCCTTGACTCCCCCCCCCCCCTCTTTCCTACTTCTTTGCATTCCCCGCGTTTGAAATCCCCAATGTGTGAATTGGTCACATGACGAACCTCGTCAATACTCGTGACTGCACTCATCAGTACTCGTGACTGCACTCATCAGTACTCGTGACTGGAAAGAAGTGACCTGGGAGTGGCCTTTGGCCTTCACTGCATCTTACTTCCCTACGCCTTTGCATTCCCTGCGTGTTAGATCCCGAACGTGTGGAGTGGTCCCGCGATCGACCTCATCAGCGCCCGTGACGGCTCCAAAGGTCATTCGAGGCTGGAGTTCAGTAAGTCGGCAGTGAAGCGGAAACATCATAAACCAAATAACTAGTAGGTGTCGTTGGTAATGTGAGGGATCTTTAACGTGCATGTCTTCCAGGTCAAATCTTGAAATCGCCCGAAGTTATGTTCACGGAACGCAAAGCACTGCGCACGCATGCACCGGACGAACATGGTCATGCGTGGAAATTTACGCCCCAAATCATCAAAAGAGGGCAATGCTGATTTTAGATCACGGATGGACTTTATATTGTCAGCTGTTCATCGGAAATACGTTTACAATGATTCGAGTTTAATCAAAGGCTTTGCACAGGCGGCAAAAAATTAATACCACATTATTCAGACGAGGTCATGTGGCGAATAGGAATGCATTCTGATTCAGCAGCGAATAACGGCTATACTTTCTAACATTGCATCCCGTCACCGCGCCAGTCAGACGACCGCGGCCTGGCAGTGACCGCTGCGACATTAGACTGTGACCCCCTCCTCGTTGCATGCCACGGTATTGCATCCTGTCACCGCGCCGTTAATGCCCCGCCAGTCAGTCGACGCAGCCTAGGAGTGGTGCAAGTCAGGGGCACAGGCAAAGCATTGGCAAGGTAAGGGGCACAGGGTTGACAGAGAGCCCCCTGATAGTAAAAGAACCACCCCAGAAATCGCCGGTTTTGGCCCATTTGATATTGAGGACATGTTTATCTCCGATGTTATATATATATATATATATATATATATATATATATATATATATTACAAATGCTTACCTTCTGTAACTGGAATATAGGCCAGACACTACCACGAGATCAATTTTGCCTTGAGTTGACAGTAAAAAAACTGACCTTAAGACACATTATTTTGTGATGGTCATTGTTGCGCTCGGCGCCCGCCCCCTGGCGTTGCTTACAGCGGACAACGCCGTTCGATTTTACGAAAACTGCTACCGAAACCATCGCTGTCCTTGCTCGCCGATGCTACATGCGTATCACGGGGGCTTTATGGCGCACTCAGCTGTTCGGGCCATATGGCGCCGCCGGCCTCTCACCTGGTGAGAAGGGCGGGCACCGCGGGCATTCGAACCCCGTACCTCTGGTTTCCCGGACGAGCAGTAGTTTACGCAAGCGCATGAACCACTACACTATCGGCATCCGGCGTGCATGCCTAATTCTTCTGACGTCATTTGTTTCATTAGTCGATTCTGCAAAATAATGGATGTTCTCGGGGAAACATGGGATGGCCTTGTGCGTTCCTCATTTCGACCCAATTCATTCAACACTAGTGAGACATCTTATTTCTTTCCGGTAAATGGGCCCCCATTCATTACAACACTACAGGGCACATTTTTGTTCCCGGTCAAGGTCTGAAGGGTCATTCTATCCCACGCGATGTATTTTCCGGCCGTCATTCTGGCGACACGGGGCGGCATCCCCTGGCTGATCCAAAGGCCGTTAGAGGGATGCATAATATCACATTGGTCCGCTCCCTGACGGGGGAGACCTTCTGACCCGCACAGTTGATACCGGGTCGACACGTGAACTGTCATTAACACAATAGCATCCCTGCTCTTCACAGGTGGTCAGATTGGCACAAATTCTCGAGTTGGGCTTAATACGCCCTCGGGGGGGGGGGGTCAAATTGACCCCCCGAAGGTTTTCCCGGAATGATTTCCAAGCTTTCCGGTAAAGAAACGCTTGGCGTGGCGTGGCCACGCCCAATTTTGCATAGCTGTAGACGACTGAATAGTTGATGGTCTGGCATAAACAATTTAGATGTACCTTTTACGGTCACTGAGCTAGGCAGGTCAAATTCAGGCCATAGTTTCAGCGAAGGCAATTTCTATGGAGTCGCTCAATCTGATCCAACAACGGAGTGTTAGGCGAAGCCATATATTTCTGAGACTTTATTAGGCAACACAACAATTGAATGAACAAATTGAACTGACCTAAAGTCAGGTATGAAGGTCAGACCAGGGTCAAAATCAACCTGCATTATTACTGTAGGGCTTGCTGTATGGGGTAGTTTCTGGTGTTCATTCCAAAGTTATTATATATTCAAATAATTCATTATATTTTGATTCATATAATCAGATTCAATATCAAATTTATGTACCAAATTTATTGTACAACAATAGGAACCGCATTGTACGCCTCCCATAGACTTCTTCAAGGTCAGAATAGGTAACTGACCTGGAACGACTCAGGTCAACATTTTGTTTTTAAGAATGTGCCCCCTAGCGTAATATATGTCGCATATCCAAATGCAAAATTAAAAGCAGTCTTGTATGATTTTGGTCACCATGACCCCCAAAAGGTGAAACGATGTCACTGACCTTAGATGAGCATGTGAACTTTTCGTAGAACAGTGATCTAGGTTCCAAGGGCCCTTTGGAGACCAACTTGGAATTTGACCTTATTTGACCTTATTTGACCCAAAGGTCATGGCCTAGGAACCTCAAACTATACCTAAGTGAGTTCACGTACATGTTCACATAATTCACACATCCTGTGAATTTGGTGTCTCTAGCTCTCTTAGGTCCTGAGATATCAACGGGGTCAAATTGACCCCCACCGCCACCCGAGCGTAGGGTATCCAACTGACCACCCGGGCGTGTGTTAACGGGCCCATGCTGGAATATGGGTGGAGGACCCACCGTTCGGTACTTGGGGCCTTGACTGACGCAGGACTCTTCTGTTACCTCAATGTGAGCGCTCATCATAAGCTTTAATGTTTCCTACAATTTTCAGAGGTCCCTGACCAATATGTCATGAACTTGTGCCATTCGGGCTCCCATCCCTGTCCCTGTTGAGCAAATCTTCCCCTGACCGATTCGAGGCCCCCTTGGAACAGAATGTCCTGTTAGACACTGTGGGTCCCTGAACGATACAAGAACCCGATTACTGTAAATCACAGGCCCGGCCTCGTCCCTGTTTGGGAGATGACTCTCAGAGCTCAGACCAACACGGGGCCGACTGTTCGCTTTTCGTGATCTCTGCCCGAAATAGAGAAGCACTCTGCCTCAGGCGTACCTATCGGTACAATAGATCATCCTACTGACATTTGAGACCACGGCCCTTTGGGTGGGGCCCTTAATGTGGCCTACAGCCAGCCATTCGGTCCCTCCAGCCATCCCATTGGGCCCTTGATCTTTGGTCTCGGGAGACTCTTCGGCCCCTCTTCCGGCCACTGTAAACTCCGCGCCGACTCCGGGCCACTTGCCGCCACGGGACCCCTGTTTGGCACTGTGGCCCCTAACCGATACAGGAGCCCCTCGTTGTGCCAGGGACTCCGAACATTGCAAATCGCGGACCCCGGCCTCGTCATTACTTGCGAAATGGGTCTCACGCGCTCGGACGGACCTGGGGCCGACTGTTCGGTGTTCGTGGTCTCTGACCGATTTAGACAGCCGCATTGTTACAGGGGTTCCTCAAACGGTGCAAGAGGACCTCTGATTGATATTTCAGGTCACGACCCTAACGGGCCACGATTCTTTATGTGCTTACAGACAGTCCTTTGCACCCTTGTGCCCTACAGCCGGGCCTTTGATAGTCGGTTCCGGTGGCTCCCGGGCCCCTCTTCGGGCTTCATCGAGCACTTCCCTTGGTCGGTTCGGGCCTTTGCGAGCACAGGCCCCTCCATGCTCCCCCGTTGGGCGCTGTGAGCCCCTGTCAGGTATAAGGCCCCCGGTTAGAGTAAATCACTGGTCCCGGCTTTATAGCTGATTGAGAAGTGGGTCCTAAGGCCTATACCGACACGGAGCCGACTATGTAGTACGGTGGTACCGCACCGACATATAGGATCATATCGACTCAGGGGGTCCCCGATCGACGCAAATGGCTCTTTGGCCGTTATTTGAGGGTCCATCTTCACAGTTCGGGGTCCCTGAATAAGACGTCGACCAGCATTTAATGCCCCTAGACCTTCCAGTCGGGCAGGTGATCGTCAGACCCGTTGGACACTCAGGCTCTTCTGGCCTCCTCGAACGTCGCCTGTGGCCGACTCGGGGTACGTTGACAACACAGGCTCGGAGGCTTCTGTTAGGCGCTGTGAGGCCCGGATAAATGTAGCAGTGCTGGTTCCGGCTTTGTCCCTGCTTGAGAATGGACCCTTAGGCTGATGCCGTCACAGGGCCGACTGTTTGTTAGTTGTGGTGTCTGACCGACATGTGGGCCCTTATGGACTCAGTGGGCCCTTATTAGCGCAAAGGGCCCTCTGGCTGGCACTGAAGTGCCTGGCCCTTTGGGACGGAGCCTCTGAATGAGACCTCCGGCAGGCCTTTCGGGCCCATCGGGCCCTCAAATCAGCGGGCCCTTAATCGTAGGGAGAGGGGGGGGCACGTGGCCCTGTGTCCCCCCGCCTGCACTACTGGTGCAAGTTCAATGCAACACAACAAAGCGAATAAAACAAACATCTTCTGAAAAACGTCAGTAGTGTACCACACTTGAACCGTTACCAAATCCTCCCAGTGATATCACCTGTTTTAATATTTTCACAAAACTAATAAAAAAGCTCTTGAGTGTAGAGCAAAGTAAAAGACTTTAACCGCACCCGGGGATGTTCAAGGCCGGTGACTCGATAGCCTTGGCCGGTATGTGACGAAACCCGAACAGGCTCGCAGCGGGCCGTCCTGGGATCATCTGTACTTTCACCGAGGAGTGCTCCCTGGTGGTACGTATTGATTGGCATGTGGAGCTGATCCCTGCCATTCATCACGTCATGTATAGCATGTGTTGATGTGCAAAGGCAGAAGGATGAGTTTTGATATGCGGGGCATCACCGGGGTGCCGTGGATCTAGTGTCGTAACATCGCGCATTTTTTAGAAATGGGGTCTGGGCTGTTGCGAATCGTGAGTTTTTGTTCCTGGTCATTGACCGTCAATATACTGATAAGCACTGATGAAACGACGATGTAGAGGAAACATCGAGTACATACCATCAATATAGCCAATGTTTTCTCTTTAATGCTGTCTAACAGGCACATCCTTCCTGGCTGCTGATATATTTATGCATTTGAGTCTTCAGGTAATCATTTCCTACATGATGTGCATCATCAAAATGAGTAATTTAGAATGAGAATTCTGAACTTATAATGCAAACAATGAAGCAATAGGAGTTGGAGACATTTCTTGCTGATATGAAGGGACTGGAGTGCCCTGGTTTGTGGATGGGGTTTATCACTTGCTTGAAAGCTCCTCCGCTTTAAATACGCTAGGCTGGAGGTGCTGATAAATATTTGCTTGTTGTGAGGTTACCCCATCATTGTATTTTTCTCATCTCCCTGCATTTTATGATTTTATTTTCAGTCTTCCATTTGTGTTGTCAAAGCTAATTACTCGGAGACTATGGTGTTATCTTCTCTAGTTGTGTTGTTTTGTTCACTAAATTATGCTGCTCTTCCACAAAATTGCATTGGCAATTTAACAAGAGAACAAGATATGTATAGAATGTTGACTATTGTTTTACCTAGCTGCCCCAGGCTGCATCATAATGCTGCAAATGTTTCACTGGACTTTTATTAAATTTAACTCATAGTCACAGCCATAGCATCTGCAGGAAACAGCAAGCAAAAAATGCTCTGCTGATGAGACATATTTGGAGGGCTTACCTGCTGTCAAGGATAGACTTTCACCCCATGCAGTCACAGTGACACAGAATTCTACATGAAACCCCCCTGGCACTAGGGGGTTAAGGGTTATAATGATTTGTTATCTTATGTTTTGTGCATGGAACATCATAGGGTCATCCTTAAATTTTGCTACAGATTAGGTTCTGCTGCCACTGGCTCCTCTCTCCTCACCTGCTGCTCTGGTATCAGGAGCCCTGCTTCCTCCAGCTCCTCTCTCCTCACTTGCCACTCTGGTATCAGTAGTCTTGCTGCCTCTGGCTCCTCTCTCCTCACCTGCTGCTCTGGTATCAGGAGCCCTGCTGCCTCCAGCTCCTTTCCCCTCACCTGCTGCTCTGGTATCAGTAGTCCTGCTGCTTCTGGCTCCTCTCTCCTCACTTGCTACTCTGGTATCAGGAGCCCTGCTTCCTCTGGCTCCTCTCTCCTCACCTGCTGCTCTGGTATCAGGAGCCCTGCTTCCTCCAGCTCCTCTCTCCTCACCTGCTACTCAGGTATTAGCGGTTCTGCTGCCTCTGGCTTCTCTCTCCTCTTCTGCTACCTTGGTACCAGTAGTTGTGCTGCCTCGGGCTCCTCTCACCTCTCCTGCTCCTCTGGTATCAGTGGCCAATTTGGCCACCACCCAGTTAAAACAGTTTGCCTGGAGCCTGTGCCTGGTTGTCATAAATATGATAATTCATTGAGACACTATTAGTTGTGTGACTGGAATGGGATGCATCAAAGATGCAGCCTTGCAGGTGTTGATTAGCTACCTTGTTTATAATGATAACCTGTGACACCTGGGTGGATAGTTTTACAAACAATAGCCACAAATGCATGCAGAGATTAATGCATTGGATGATGGTGGTAGGCAGCATAGCCCAGCTGTATGGTTGACTCTACCTGTCTGATGTTACTGAGAGACCATGCAGCCACAGTTGGAGATGATGGTGGCTGCCAGAGCCAGCTCATAATGTAAGCTCCATGCATGTGTAAAGCTGAAGGGACTGACCAATGGTCCCCTCAACAGCCAGCTTGTAACATCTGCCCTGAATGCTCATAGGACAGAAGAGATCAGACAATGTCAGCAGCCAGTCGGCTGAGCTGGGCGGCCGTGTCGCTGCTGGTGGTGCTGCTGGCCATCTGGTACCGGCAGCCAGCGGACCAGCTGGACGCCGTGCTGGACAGCCTGCTTCGCGCCGAGCAGCTGACGCTGACGCCGCCGGCCGCCCGGCCGCGGCCGCGCGTCGCTGTTGGCTACGGCGGCTGCATGGACCTGTTCGCACGCGCGCTGCACGTGCTGGACGGCGGCAAGTGCGCCGTGCGCGCCAGCCACCACGGCTTCCTGCACGATCGCGTCCAGCTGCATCAGACGTTCCTCTACTTCTTCCAGCACGGCGCCGCCGCCGAGTGAGTACCCGCGGACCAGACGCGGCGATGAATTCACGGATTATGTCATGGCGTTTTGCTGCTGTGATTGCGAGCGTCGCAGCCACTCCAACGCGGCCGGGGAATATGAAGACACAGCTGGAACCACGGCCATGTTGTAGCTGTGTGGGTAATTGTTGGCTGAAAGTAACGCCCAGGACTTTACATGAAACATTTTGTATCATTCTTGGATCCACTGCACTTCTCTGAGCCACCTTTTGACCAGTCATGCTTATTAAATCTGCCAGAACTGTGTCATACATAACCCGGGCCGCCAGGTCATGCCATCATGTATTTTAAAAAAACCCATACCAACAAGGAGTATATGTGTGGATTGTGTATGTCCCATAATAACATCTTATTTGTAATACGGATGAACGCATAGTTGGTTCCACTAGTAGGACAATTTGTCCCATCATTGTCAATGATGATGCTGATAAAACGCTGGGTATTCAGGAGCACAGTTTGTTGCTCTTTTCTCCATCTCTTCGATGCCTTCCAGTGGGGCCGTTTTGTTCGCGCCGGTGTGCCGCTGTCTCCCCTAGTGTTCCATGGCACCTCCCTGCGCCGGACGGCCTCCCGACGCCGCCCTCCGTGCCTCAGACGGTACGTCTCGGACGCGGACCTGTTTCGCCGAGCTGGTGGCGGCGGCTCGCAGTGCGCCCGATGCCCGCTACGTGGTGGGCGGCAACGCGCCCGTGATGGCGGCCCGGTTCGCGCGCGAGGGGCTGCTCGGTGCTGCTGGGCAGCGGCCGCTACCCGGGCCAGCAGGTGCCCGAGGACGTGCGCGTGGTGGGGCCGGAGGCGGCGCGACCCGACGTCCACCTGATCCTCGAGTACGGCGCCGACGCCAGCTGGTGCGGCCACCACCACCACCCGCGCCAACAGGTGAGCCCGCCCCTCCGCACCGACCAATGCCGGCGGCAGGGTGGTGCAGCTCGGCACCGCTCCTTTTCGTGGGGCAATAGAAGTCGAGTGGTTATTATCGAGGCGTCAGATGATAGGTGGCTGGGGCAATGGCGAATGAGCGGAAGGTCTGCACTGTCCCAGATGTTGACTGCGAAATTAAAGACGGGAATTATGTGTATAGCTTTGCGTATATGTTTCAGGTTTATTATTCACAGCGACGTGGCCAATCCCACGATCTCTGCTCTGGAGGATTTCGGCGAGGCCTTGAAGAAGTTTGACCCGGACCTGCTCGTGGTCTCGGGACTCCAGATGATGGATAACTTCCCATTCGAGAAGGGTGAGAACCCGACGTTTGGCTACCGCCACCGGCTACATCGCGCCATATGATTTTCTGGCGGACTCGGGTGTAGGTCCAACAGGGCCAATGAGGCCATGCATGGACCAACATGAGTTTCTGCCATGGCCGGCTGTATCAGTCTATTCTGCCCTCCCCAGTGGCTGGCTGCTCTGCCTTTCCGTCTCCACTGGCTGGCTGTTTTTGCCTCCCCCCTCCCCACTGGCTGGCCGTTCTGCCTCTCCCCTCCCCCCACTGGCTGGCTGTTCTGCCCCCCCCCCCCCCTCACCGGGACCCCACGGAGCGGCTGCTGCCGACAGGCGCGCGGCCCGAGCGCCTGCGCCTGCTGCGGGACCAGATGCGCTCGCAGCCGGCCCGCACCAAGATCCACTTCGAGATGGCCAGCTTCGCTGACACCGGCTTGCTGCGCGAGATGATGCAGATGGTCACGCCTTACGTCGACTCCATGGGCATGAACGAACAGGTGAAGTGACGCAGCAGCCGGCGCCCCGCGCGAGCCGGCCGGGTGCCGGTGCGCCGCCCGTGTACGATGTTGGCGAGTGATTTGAACGCGTTTAGGTACGCAGCAGCCGTATCCAGTCGTCAACTAGTTGAGAAATGCAATGGGTGATAGCTGCTTGATAGAAAAACTGGTGAGCAGCGAGGGAAGAAGTACACCAGCCGTGGTGAAATCGCCGGAGCCCTAGCGTCTGACTGTACATTGTTGCTTGAAGTCTTGTAGGTTCAAAGGCGAGTCGAAGCAAACATTTTTCGACATGCTCCGTCATTGCGTTGGATAGAGGCGGGGGTAAAGTCTAAAAAGTGGGAAAGCGGGTGAGTAACGCACAACTGTGTGATCGCAACCGCAGGTGGTGCAGGCCTGATGGTCTGAAATTTTGCCCCTTCTCGCCGCCGGCGTCAATTGGTAACAGCAGTTACTTAGGCCCCGAGTCGCGTGCAAAAAGAGATGGGCCAGGTGGCGGTGCCAGTTGCGGTATTGATCTTTGGGTGTTTTCGTGTTATCGGTAGATCCGTGCGATTATGTTGTTAGCTCTCCTTCTTTGAACGGAGGATGGTTATGCGTGTGCGGTGATGCCCTGGTGGTACTGATGTGTGCGCACCGGGTGAAAAATCATCGAACATCGTGCCGGTGGCGCTGGGGAGTCTTCTTTCGACATCGGTGCGGCCCTATAGTGCGCCCGTTGACCGCCGGCCACCCCGCTGCCGCAGGAGCTGCCGAACCTGCACAGCATGGTGCTGTACGGCAACGTGAGCCTGGTGTCAGACGCCAACCCGCGCGTCGCCACCGTGCTGGACCAGATGCGCACCGTCATGAGGTACGGGCCGTTCTCAGGTCGCCCTGCGGACGGGGGGGGGGGGGGAAGCGCACCCCCCACCGGGGCAGATAACTCGCTACTACAGCACTGCTGCGGCCAGGCATGCAGCCACTATGGCGACTTCTGGAATGGCAAGAGTTAAAAAGCGGCGCAGAATTGTAATGGCGGCCTTTCATTTCGAGGTTGGTTCTTTTTTTGTAATTTGCGTGCAGACACCGAGTACATCCGTCCGCCATGGGATAGACGATAAACCGGTCTGGCTTAACGGGTCTGGATGAATCTGACGATGAACCGGTCAGCTAAGTTCTGGGTTTATCACTGCACTTACAAATGGGTTCTCTGTGAAGATTCCGTGCCGTCCATCTGGTGCGGCGCCTACCGTCCCGTCTGCGCCGGGCCACCGCGGAGCGCGGTGCCGGCCCGATGAGTCGGCCAGCGCAGCCGGATCGATCGCTGCTCATGCGTGGCAGGTGTGGCCCTGGGCTACACCTGTTCAAGGCCGCACAGTCCATCTGCGAGGTGTGCGCCGTAATGAGCCCGCCGAAAACGCCACTAATGGAAGCAGACGGCCACGCCAATAAAACCACCTTTCCGTCGTCCAAGGGTTCTGTCTCCCCCCGCTATTTTAAATCCAAGGCTTTCGGCTTTACAGTTATTATTAATGACATTATCGTTCCCACATTCAGCAGTGAACAAAACTGCCTGCGCTGAATCTGTCCGGGTGTGGCCATTTTGCAGTGGCCGTGGCCTCAGTGCGTCAGCCAGTCGAGGCGGCTTAAGGAGACTTAAGTCGTCCATTCCATGCTCAGACCTACGACGAATGTAGCGCTCCTAGACGGGCGAGTGGCCCAGAAAAAATCATTCGAATAAGGATACACGCGGTGTGCGTTCAAGTGCAAGTTATGTGTTTGTTCAGTTGTCGTAATCCACATGTGGCTGCAGTCTGGCTGTGGTGTCGAATGCCGCCGTACATTGGAGTGACTGGCCACAGGCGCAGCCGTCCCCGCAGCTCGGCCGCCGGCAGCCCCGGCTGACTGCGGCGCTGCGTGCGCTGCCGACAGGGTGCTGGGTGAGGAGGCGCCGGCCGAGCCCGGCCGCCGGCCGCTCTCTCGCCTGCACGTGCACACGCTGGCCTTCCAGGCCATCATGACGCGCCGCGACGGCATCTGGAGCAACTCGATGTCGGCGGCGGCGCGCGCCTCACTCACCGCCCACCGCCACATCTGCGGCACGAAACAGGTACGCCGCCGGCCCGGGCCGGGACGGAACGCGGGTCTGGTGCTGTTGGGCCGGTCAGCTGGAACGCAGTGAGGGTGCATCAGAGGACTCAGCCAAACGTCACCGCAGCCGCGCTAGCTGTATATTTTAACCGTGCGCGAGAGGAGATCAGATGACACTCGGTGTCGCCGCCCCCCCCCCCCCCCCCCCCATCCTATAAGGAGGCGGTTCGCCGTAGGGAGGCTGTTGGGTTTGACTGCTCGGCCGTGCCGCGAGCCGGCTGCCGCCCGACGTTGGCCGTGGTCCGGCGGCTGATCGGCCTCCCGCTGCGCCGCCAGGTGGACACAAGAAAGGCGCGCCTCATCATGGACGAGAGCTTCTCAGTGTCTGGCGAGCCGGGCAGCCGACGGGTGCCGTTCGACCCGGCCCGGCCTGTCAGCTGCTGGAACGAGGGACTCTACGAGGTGCATAGCGAGCGACAGGGACTTTTGCCCGGCGCTGCTCAGCTTATGGGACGTGCGCCGTAACTGATGGGTCCTGTATATCTTATTCGTGTGGAAGTTATTTTTGCCATGCGGCGGAGACACACCCGAGTTCTTGGGCAAAGGTGTGCTGTGACGAGCTGAGGTTTGCCTCATCGCCCTGCACGCGACTGGCGCCATCTTTCGGATGAGGGTGGCCCCAGTGACGGCCGTCTGTTGTGCGGTGGTGCTGCGCGTCTGCGTGACCGCTGCCTCGTTTCGCGCTCCGCCCGTGCCACTCCCGACGCGCACCCCGGTGGATCGTCCCCACGCTCAGTATACGCCCTGTTCCAGATGTGCGTGGCGCCTGTGCTGGTCTGCACGGAGGTGTACCAGACGGCGGGCGGCGGCGACAACATCTCGTCGGCCGGCCTGGTGCCGCAGATCCTCTGACGGGCGGCTGAGGAACATGCCGGCCCGCTGTTGGCTGACGCGGCCTGGCGGCGGGGGCCGCGCCGGCTCGCAGCCGGCCGGGAACGGCCGGGACGGTTGGCTTTGTCCCGTCCGGACAAGCGTTGCACGAGGAGATTGTGCGAAGATGCCAGTTGGGACCAACAGGTCGGTGGTTTCCAAGCAGATTAGGTGGCCTTTTTTCGAGTTGTTTGGAATGGGCACCGAAATTAACGTCTCGGGGTGAAGCGTACCGTGATATGGGGCGAATACTGAGCTCAGCACCAGACGCGGCGTGCCAGTCGCCTCGTCGCCGAATGTGGTCAAAGTTCAGGTAAGATCGCCAGCTCGTTAAACTAGTCTTGACTATCAAAATGCTGTGGCTTTTGCCAAGTGATCAGGGCTGTTGTTCGGTTGGGAGGGGTGCGGCTCGCCACGTGACCGGACCATCCCGCTCGCTGCGCCTGTCGGAGGTGGCAGCGCGCTGAAACGAAGCGTCACGACATGGTCATCTCCCGGTGATATGTTCAATGGACGGTGCCGTCCGTGATACGTTGTCTTCGCTCGTATGTGCACGTGTCCACCCATTTGTGACCCCTGGGGTCATCCAACGCGATGAAATCGGGCAGCAAGCGGGCGATCAGGGTACTTACTTTAAGCAAAATGCGGGGCGGACCCGGATTGAGTGCCATCATTCCAAACGCTGCGCAGTCTGCCACGCCGGGACGCATCGTTTATTTGACCAGCCAGTCATCCATTCCGCTACGGCCGGGGGTTGGATTCCCATTTCAGCACGGTGTGCATTATTTTCTGTATCCGTTTGTGTTCGGCGCGCCCGCGCAATAGAAGTGACGAAATACTGTTGTGTCTACCAGCCCTATGCCCACGTGCGCGATGCGGTAATAGACAAACGCAACCACGCCGAATTCTCGCACAACGACCCTCCAAAGACACCCGCTCTGACGTCTTTATATTCGTGTCACCAACTCTCATAGATAAAGATATCAAACAATTTGCAAAACTACATGATAATATAACGTGCGGCGGCGCGCCATTGGGGCGAGCCGCCGGTAAGCCGCCGCGCGCCGCCCCCACGGGCAGCGCGCGTGGCGTCATCAGCTAAAACGGGGCTCGGCCAGCGGAGCCCCACCGCGCGCCGGGGGAATGGGAGGGCGAGGTAGTGGGCGCCACCGGCGGCGCTCAGCCGAGGCCCGCCACCTCTGAAGACTCGGGGACGCTGCGGGGGTCCGCGCACGGCGGCAGACGGCCCGCTCGGGCCAGTTGTCGGCGGCGTCGGCTAAGGACGTGAACTGAGAACCGGGGCTGTGTCGGGTCGGGCGGTGCGGGGCCGCGGGCTGACCGGCAGCCCGGCCGCTCGTAGACAGGTCAGCAGGAACTCTCGGTGCAGACAGGCGTGGGTGTTGTGACGGGCAGCGGACAGCTGACAAACGCTGTCCGCCGTCCGCTGAGGGTTAGAGGGCCGGGCCGCCGTGCCACGGCCGGGCAGTGTCAGATGCTCGGCTAGCTGGCAGCCGCGCGTGGCAGGCTGCCGCCTCACGCGTAGTAGGATGGTGACACCAGCAGGTCGGTGAGCACCGTCAGCTGATCATCGGTGAACTTCTGCCGGTGCTGGCGCCAGTTCTCGTGGTGCGTCCGCTTGAAGTTCATCATGGTCTTGCGGATCGTGGTCTGAAACGGAACACAGTGAAATGGAAGACAAGACGACACTATTGCCACGTCACGGATCAGTTGCGCCTCTGATCAGTCCTCTTCGCCTCTGAATGACCAGGAACCAGGGCAAAGCGATCATCCCTTCAGAGCACTACGGTAAAAGCCGGCGCGTCGCTCCACGGAAATGCACCCAACTTTTACATCATACGCGCAACGCACATGGCGCGTATGCTAACACAAATGCTTGTTGAGAGGCGGCTCCCGAGACAGCCAGACAGCCATAAACAGCACCGAACAGTGGACACATCGCGTAACTCTCTCAGACGAGATGATAACGATGGCCGCCTACGCGACGTCAGCTCACTGTAGCCACACACGCGCCAAAGGCAGTGCAAGGTGTTGACCCGCAATACGAGCGCCATTCCTCTGTCGTGCCCCAGCTATGCGGGCTGCACGGACGTTGGTTGTGTAACGACCCAGCTGTCGGTATGGCGACTCACCTGTATGGGAGGTGGCTCGGTATGGCGACTCACCTGTGTGAGAGGTGGCTCGGTATGACGACTCACCTGTATGGGAGGCGGCTCGGTATGGCCGCTCGCCTGTATGGGAGCTGGCTCGGTGTGACGACTAGGCTGTATGGGAGGCGGCTCGGTATGGCGGCTCACCTGTATGGGAGGTGGCTCGGTATGACGACTAGGCTGTATGGGAGGCGGCTCGGTATGGCCGCTCGCCTGTATGGGAGCTGGCTCGGTGTGACGACTAGGCTGTATGGGAGGCGGCTCGGTATGGCGGCTCACCTGTATGGGAGGTGGCTCGGTATGACGACTAGGCTGTATGGGAGGCGGCCCGGTATGACGACTCACCAGTATGGGAGGCGGCTCGGTGTGGCGGCTTACCTGTATGGGGGGCGGGTCGTTGACGTGGTCGCCGAGGATCATCAGCGTCTGCGGCAGGTGCTCTGGCACGTCGTACGGCGCCGCGTTGACGAAGGCGCACAGGCCGAGCACGCCGGTGTGCCGCTGCCGCAGCTGGGCCACGTGGTCGGCAGGGGTGGCACCGCGCTGGCGCAGTCTCGTGCCCGACATCTGCTCAAAGTCGGCCTGCCCAATGCACACACGAGATACAGGTCAGGTCAGGTCTCCACGGCAATAATACGCCGACCAGACTTGACCGACACCATATGTCGGTTGGAGGGTGACCAGGCACATACAAAGAAATCCGAATTTGGCTGAGTATGTGCCACAGATGATAAGAGCGGAGCAGAGCACATGTGCGTGGCAAGGGACATCAACTGAACTAAAAGAAAAAGAAACTGGATGAAGTGAATATAAATCGTCTAGACCTCCCTAAAGCCCGACTCTGGCGATCCACAAAGTTTCGTCCAATTGTTTCATGTACAACACTCCCCATTACGACCATATTCTGGTGAAGGGGTTCATGATTCCATGATGTCCAACATACTATTGAATTTCACATCAAGACCACTACCACGCGCCACGCTTCACAGTCAGCCCCAATTGGAGTTAGTATGCCGTCATCCTGCAAACCCCACGACGGGCGATACCGGACGCCGCTGTCTGCCGGCGGCCCGTCAGCTCAGGCGCCGGGAGGCGGGGCAGGGAGGGGCGGGGCGGGGCGTGCGGGCAGCCGGGGAGCGGTCACGGGTCGGCCGGCGGCTCGTCAGCCCAGGCGCCGGGAGGCGGGGCAGGGCGGAGCGTGCGGGCAGCCGGGGAGTGGTCACGGGTCGGCCGGCGGCCCGTCAGCTCAGGCGCCGGGAGGCGGGGCAGGGCGGGGCGTGCGGGCAGCCGGGGAGTGATCACGGGTCGGCCGGCGGCCCGTCAGCCAAGGCGCCGGGAGGTGGGGCAGGGCGGGGCGGGGCGTGCGGGCGGCCGGGGAGCGGTCACGGGTCGGCCGGTGGCCCGTCAGCCCAGGCGCCGGGAGGCGGGGCAGGGCGGGGCGTGCGGGCAGCCGGGGAGCGGTCACGGGTCGGCCGGCGGCCCGTCAGCCCAGGCGCCGGGAGGCGGGGCAGGGCGGGGCGGGGCGTGCGGGCAGCCGGGGAGCGGTCACGGGTCGGCCGGCGGCTCGTCAGCCCAGGCGCCGGGAGGCGGGGCAGGGCGGAGCGTGCGGGCAGCCGGGGAGTGGTCACGGGTCGGCCGGCGGCCCGTCAGCTCAGGCGCCGGGAGGCGGGGCAGGGCGGGGCGTGCGGGCAGCCGGGGAGTGATCACGGGTCGGCCGGCGGCCCGTCAGCCAAGGCGCCGGGAGGTGGGGCAGGGCGGGGCGGGGCGTGCGGGCGGCCGGGGAGCGGTCACGGGTCGGCCGGTGGCCCGTCAGCCCAGGCGCCGGGAGGCGGGGCAGGGCGGGGCGTGCGGGCAGCCGGGGAGCGGTCACGGGTCGGCCGGCGGCCCGTCAGCCCAGGCGCCGGGAGGCGGGGCAGGGCGGGGCGGGGCGTGCGGGCAGCCGGGGAGCGGCCACGGGTCGGTCGGCGGCCTGTGTGCGGCGCTCCTGCTCACCCGCAGCTGCTGCTGGCGGGCCTTGTCGATGAAGCCGCAGTGCAGCAGGCCCGAGAACACCTGGACAGCCATCTCGCGCACCTCCACGCGCTGGTCGTGGAGACCGCGTACCACCAGCTCCGTCACCTGGCGAGAGCACGCGTCAAGTCACGCTCGGCACAGACAGCCGCTACACGGGGCACACAGGCAGCCACCAACACCGCACGGTGCCGAGCCGCGGCAAGGCACAGAGTCACTGTGCGTGGCGTGATGCAGCACGACGCGCGGCTGCGCCTCGGGGCGCAGCCGCACCGCGATCACGACTGTACAGCGACGACACGCCGGCCGCAACGCCGCGTCCGCCGCGCGCGGCCCAGCCCGGCGACGCTGCACCACCACCACGCCGACCGGCTCTCACCGTGAGCGCCGCCGGCCCGTTGCGGAGCAGCAGGAACATGTTGTGGAAGGCGGCCGCCTGCAGGAACGCCAGGCCGGCCACGCGCACGCGCCAGTAGGCATGGCCCATGACGCGACCGACGGCCGCCAGCAGCGCCGCCATGGCCGCGCCGTCGTGCCGCAGCACTGCCAGCGCGTGCAGTGTCTGGCGGCGCACGAGGGCGTCAGCACGGAGACCAGGTTAGAGCGGGAGGGAAGGAACCGGAAAGACCCGAACGAACGATGCGCTCCAACGTCAGACATATAGCACCTTGTCGCTGCTGAGGTAATTTCTGATGATTGCAGCACTCTAAGTCCCGAAAAACACAGTGAGCCTCCGAAATGGCCCAGCATCGCTCCGCGGCCACGTCTGCACTGGCGCGCAGCTCTGACCGCGCAGCACGGGGCCCAGGCGCGGGGCGCCGGCGACACCGGCAGCCCGGCCCTGAGGGCCGGGAGCCGGGAGCCGGGCCGGCTCCGGCCGCTCCCCTCACCCGGACGCAGTCGGCCTGCAGGTCGCGGTCGATGTCGTACGACTCCATGGCGCACAGGTAGGGCAGCAGCTGCAGGTGCTTCGGACTGACGAAGCGCAGCAGGCGCGTGCTCGCGCCGCACAGCATGTACTGACACACTGCCGAGCACACACGCTCGTCAGCCGGCCGCAGTCGGCCGGCCGGAGCCGGGCGGCCGTCGACACCACACCAAGTCACGCACGTGGTCCGATCCAGCTGGTGTATGAGCGGGTCGACACGCCGACAAGCTTACTCTGGTGCACGTGGGCAGCAATCAGTCAGGAAGGAGCGCCACATCTCTATGGTCCCCGATCTGACAGTTTGGCAGGCAATATCTTACTTGACTTCCTCATTTCGAGGCAGAGACAAGACTTATGAATTAATCGAAATAAATACGCTCTGGTTTACGTGTACACCGTTAATGGTCCAGCATACCCAAAATAACCAGTGCCCGTGGTCGCTACCGTGTTAAAGTGAAAACATTTGTATCTCTGCCACCCATCATCATCATCATCATCATCATCATCATCATCATCATCATCATCATCATCATCATCACCATCATCATCGCCCCAACCACCACGCCTGCACCTCCCACGGGAGCGGTTTTGGAGCGCCATCAGACAGTAAGTGTGTGCCGGATGAGCGTGCGTGGTAACGGGAAGGGCCGGGACCCGCCGGCGCCCGGCGGCCACCCACCGGTCTGGAGGAGCCGGTGCGCCGTCTGGCGCTCGCTGCTCAGCGGCGCCGCTCCCGTCTCCGCCGCGCCGCCGTTGGCTGCAACAGAGCGGGTAGACCCGGCGTCACTGGCGCGGCCCCGGCCGTCGCAAGGGCCAAAGGTCGGCCCGGCCCGGCCCGGCCCGAGCCAGACCGAAAACATCACAGCCACGCGACGCCGAGGGCGGCTGACGCGCCGGTAAAACCGTGGAACGTCTGTGCAAGCTATCATCCGGCGCGCAGCACTGTATCACATTGCAATAATGGCTGTGTAACACGTATTGCACAACGTGGAGGAGGGGAGTATTGCGAACAGAGATCAAACGTAGGGATGAAAAAACAGCCCGAACCCGCGGATAAAAAGGAAAGGAAAGAAAGTCCAAAAATCTGCAGCTTGACTTTACAATGCTCCAGTAATTGCCAGCAATAGACACAGGCACGCAAGCCAGCGTACAAACCCACGGGCCCGGGGGCCAAGCAGACTGGGCGGTGGCAGCTCCTCCCGGCGAGTCGCGGCCAACACGACGGTCTGCCCAGTGTGATCGGTCTGCTCACCGCGTCCACCGCCGAGCGGTGGGGCCACTCGCCGCGTTCCCCTCCGGGCAGTAGGCCCACTCACCACGTTCGCCGCCGAGCGGTGGGGCCACTCGCCGCATCCACCGCCGGGCAGTGGGGCCACTCACCGCGTTCCCCAAGGGCCACTCACCGCGTCCACCGCCGGGCAGTGGGGCCACTCACCCGTCGGGCAGCGGGGCCACTCACCGCGTCCGTCGGCGGCCAGCAGAAGGTCGAGCTGGGGCAGCGCCGCCTCGATCAGCGCGTCGGAGTGCGGGCTGAGCGAGGCCGGCCCGCCGTACACGTCCAGCTGGAACACCTTGCTCAGCACGCCTCCGAGCCGGTGTCGGATGTTCTGGTACGGGTGGTCCAGGTGCGGCATCACCATGTCGCGCACCCGGTGCAGCAGCTCGGCGCCGCGCCACTCCACCTCGCCGATCACGCTCTGCACACCGACAGACAGAGGCTCGCCGTCACGCTCCCGCCCCGCACGTGCGGCCAGAGGGCGCAGAGGGAGCAGTCACACGACTCACAGGGCCAACAGATGTGAGCCTTGCGGGGAAAACAAAAAAAAAATGTTTGAATTACACACAGAAGCAATCTGCATTCTAAAACATCGGAATGGTGCAGAGCCTGGCGTCACGTCGTTTGTTACCCTACAGTAAGCATGCTACCATGATGCAGCCGTCAGCAGCGGCAGCTCGTACCCACCGTCAGCAGGAAGAGCCTACAGTAAGCATGCTGCCATGATGCAGCCGTCAGCAGCGGCAGCTCGTACCCACCGTCAGCAGGAAGAGCCTACAGTAAGCATGCTGCCATGATGCAGCCGTCAGCAGCGGCAGCTCGTACCCACCGTCAGCAGGAAGAGCCTACAGTAAGCATGCTGCCATGATGCAGCCGTCAGCAGCGGCAGCTCGTACCCACCGTCAGCAGGAAGAGCCGGATGCCGAGCAGGAAGAGCGACTCGTCACGTCCGAACACGGGCTGCATCATCTCCTCGATGAGCCAGTGGTGCCGGTTGGGGTCCCGGTCGGCCTGGGGCGGCGACACGGCGCGTCACGGTCCGCCCCCACCAGACGGTCTCGCTTCGCGCTACACTCGGCGGCCCGGCCTCTACAGGCCGCGGCTCAGCACCATGGGCAGGGCGTCCACCGCTCGCCGGGAGACACCACTGACGCTCTTAGCTGTACTCTGGTGGCAGCTACTTACGCGACCCGCGGTTGACTCAACAGGGAATAAATGTACCGCATGCTCTGGGCTGGCGCGGCCCTCACGGAGCTCAGACACTGAAGGCGATGACGATGTAGACGACGGAGAGGAAACGATAGGAACACCGGAGTTCGGTGGCGCAGGGCAGGTCACGTGACATGATCATTGGCATGCTGCATGCCACAGGCGTTCCAACTTTGACAGGCAGAGCATCAGCAGGCATCCGGACCACAGGTTCAGGCCCAAAGCTACTGACAACATCCCCAGATCGTGCTGTGTAAGATAGCCACAGGGCGGGTATCTTGATACACCCTAAAGGTACACCCGTCCCACAATCGGAGCACTTCAGTGAGCCACCTCCGCCGGCGCGGAGAACCGGCACACGCCGGTCCCGATCGACAGACAGCCGTACCACGCTGTGGTTGATGCAGGCCGCCCAGTTCTCGGCCGTCTCCTGGTTGATCTTAGCGATGCAGGACCGCAGCAGCGGCAGCAGGTACTGCCACATACGCTGCACGGACTCGAAGGACCAGTGCTTGCTGCCGCGGATCACGCCTGCGGGCCGGGGCGCCGCGTCAGCCGCCGCCGGCGGACGGCAGGGCGCGCTCAGCACCGCGCCGGAGCACGGCACGGGATACATGGAGCACGGTATGGGACAAAGCACGGATCACAGCACGGCACAGAGCACGACGCGGGACATGGTTCGGGGCACGACACTGAGCACGGCACGGAGTGGTCAAGGAACACATCATCCGCTGGTGCGACACGGGTTGGGCACAGACGGCCCGACCTGTGGTGCTACAGCAAGACATCCCCTCTGGCCGATAAGCGTGCTTTAGTCTGCGGCGGACGGGATGACCTGCGCTGCGGAGCGTGTTCCGGAGGGTGCTGCGAGAAGCGCGAGTGTGACGGGCGACCCACGGCGGTGAAGGCTGGAGCTGCGGCCTGCGCGCCGAGGCCTTGAGCTGCTCCATAATGGCGCAAGGGAGCAGCGATGGCACGCGTCGAGGCCGATCCCCCGCATTGCTAGACTGCTTCGCTGGACATGTGGCATCAGCCAACGAGAGACTGCCATGCAGTGGCACGACCCGATAAACGACCGACCAGCCGCCGGGCCGCCGGCCGCTGCTGTCCCCGCTCAGCCCGGTCTGGACAGGTCGGGCCCGCTGCTCCGGAGGCGCGCCTCCTCACCGGCGGACAGGCCGGCGGCGGCGGCGGCGGCGGCGGCCTCACCTGCCACAATCTCGCAGAGACACTTCTGTGAGCTCTCGGTCACCTCCTTGCTCAGCCGGTCCAGGTGTGGCTTGAACACCTCCAGCAGCTCCTCGCCGTGGTTACGGAACAGACCCTGCGCCAGACACGTGCATTCATAGCACACAAACCACGTGACAAGCTCTGTGAGGTGTTCAACTAAGCATATCGATACTACAGGTTTTGAGCTCTACGCGCCGTCCCGTTCATTTCTTCATCCTATAAGCATTAAGGTTTCCATGACCATAAGTTGCTGTTATGCACAAATGTTAGCTGAAAACGAAAGAGGCCAATGCATGGCACATACATGTTTGCACAAAACGGCATTTAATGTATTAATAGGGAACGTGGGCGAGTCGTGTAAAATAAGCAACGCGACACACAAAGCAATGCTGCGCTACACCTGGTGTCACTGTACATTCACCCGCAGCCTCAGCGGTAACCGAGCAGCAGCCGCGTCCACGGCCCATGGCCGAGCGCGCGCGCATACCTTAAATACGATGAAGGTAGTCTCGGCGAACACGTCCCTGCCTTTGTGCTCCTCCAGGCTGAGGAAGCCCACCAGCTTGGCTACCGACTCGGCGTTACTGAAGAACTCCCGAACGGCGCGCACCGCCTCGCCCTCGTCGGCCGGCTTCTCCTGCAGCTGCGGTTGCTGCCGGTACAGGCGCAGCTCGCGCGGCCACCACGAGTAGCCCCACTTCATCTTGTGCACATAGCGGGCCACGGCCCACTGCTTGGCGTCGCGCGGCACCGTGGCGCTGTCGTATTGCATCCAGAGGTTGTCGGTGCGCTCGCCGAACTGGCGCCAGCCGCGCCAGGCGGCGTCGCCGGCCGGCAGCGGCGGCCAGGGCCGCGCCGGCCGCTGCGCCACGGTGCTCGGCGTCACCGGTACCGTCTCGTGCCGCCGCTTCTGCTGCTTCAGGATGGCAGCCAGGCCCAGCATCGAGCTCTGCCGGACAGCGGCGGCCGAGGCGCCGGTCAGCCGGCGCTCGCGCCACACGCCAGCCGGCGACGCAAGCCGGCCGCGTCTCAGTGTACCCGCTACAGGCGACGTGAGAAGTCATGCTGATGACCCGGGCTGCAATAACAGCCGTGTTCTTAACGTCGCGGGGCGGCCGGCAACAGCACAGGGCACACGCTCATCCGGCGAGCACGCCAGCATGTCCGGCTCGCCGCCGCAGACGCCCACCTTTCTGACGAAGATGGAAGTGTGCAGGAGGTTCTGCAGGCAGAAGCGGACCACACGGGCCGGCACAGGCACGTCGGGCCGCACCAGAAGGCTGACAAACTCCAGACAAAGCTCGTTCCGTCGCCAGTGTCTGCAAACGAACACATCTAAAAGACAAGCCTCCAGCACGTCACATTTACGATCGGTGCTTCCCAGCTATTTTGAATTTTAAAGGCAGAATGCTCTATCGACGGATGCCGACTGTAGCGGAGGGCGACTGTGTCAGCAATGCAATCGCCAGATTTCACGATGTAGTCTGCCAATAAGGCAACACGACAATGAATACTCAATTTTCATTTATCGAGAAAAACAGTCATTAAAAACGGCCGACGTACCAAGCGTCCTAGTGATGACCATACAGTGGCTCGACGTCACCCTCCCAGGACCCCCGCAAACACAGTCCGCCGGGGGGAGAGCGGCGCGGCCGGCCTTCCGGGCGCCGCAGCCTCGCCGTGCCAGCGGTGAGCAGCGGGCCGGAGCGGCGGCCCGGCCGGCGCGCGGCGTCACTCACAGCGTGCCGGACTCCATCAGCGAGAGCAGTCGGTCCAGCAGTGCGTCGTAGCAGCGCCGGTTCAGCGCGCTCTCCTCGCGCAGCCGGTCGGCGGCGGCCGGGCTGACGGCCGGCGGCGGCGGCCGGGAGCCGGGCGCCACCGGCGCGCTGGACCAGAGCCGCGGCACCAGCGGCAGACACTCGGCAGACATCTGCCGACCAGTCACACAGACACGGGATCAGGGACATGGGGACATCGGCACAGAGTAAGACGGCACCAGCGGCAGACACTCGGCAAACATCTGGTGACCAGCGTCACACAGGTACGGGGTTAGGGACACGGGGACACCGGCATAGGGCAGAGACACGGAGACAACCGGGACAGGGCAGTAATACGGAGACACCAGCATAGGGTCAGACGGCACCAGCGGCAGACACTTGGGAGACATCCGCCGATCAGGGTCATACACACACGGGGCCAGGGACACGGTGAGACAACACTAGTGACGTCTGTACACGCAGCGTTACGACACACGCGACGCATGTGACGCCTCCAACTGGTCGGCCTGTACGCTGTACCGCATGCAGACGGGCCGCCGGTCGCGGCCCAGTCGCCAGCGCTCGCCTCCTACCGTCAGCTGGAGCGGCACCGCCTCGTACAGGTCAGTATCCTTGCGCAGCCGCTCCATCAGCACGACGATCGAGTCCTTCTCGGAGCCGACGCACGTCAGCAGCGCCGGCCACAGCTGCGCCGCCATCGGCCAGTTGTGCACGCGCAGCAGTGAGTGGCTGCCCGGCCCCAGCACCACGTGCAGCAGGCCCTGCCGGCCGGACGGGGCGGAGCGTCAGACAGCGCCGCGGCCGCGACGGGCGCCCACTCTGGGGGAACACTGTCAGGACAGGGCTCGCCGACTGGGATCGGTGGCTGCTCCAAGAGCTGGTGGCACATGTCGTGTACTAGCGCGAAGCCAGCACTTAACAAAGATAAACAGAGCTTCATCGACAAGGTAACTGAATCCAGCAAGACGCTGTGGGCTATATCATACGATCTGTTCGGGGTGCCACCCATGCCCCGTCTAGCATGACGGTGCACAAACCAAGCCTGGGCCGCGGCGCATGCCCCAGCTGGATCCTCTCCAGTGAGCGTGCGGACGCGCCATGGTGCGACGCAGCGCACTCTGTGCCCGCCTGCCCGTCCGTCTGTCTGTCTGACTGACCGCGTCAGGCGAACAGGCAGGCACGCGGACGGTGCGGCGCGCCACAGCGACCGTGTCACTGAACAACAGAAGTCAACGGAGACGACCGACGCCAGTCAGAGTCCAGCCCGCTGGGGGACGGACGGAGAGGGCGTACCTTGAGCTGCTCGTGCGACAGGTCGGGCGTCTGCAGCATCTCCACCAGGCGCGGCCACAGGGCCATGTAGGCCTGACTCGAGTTCTGCATGCACATGACGAGCACGCTCTGCGCCAGCTGCCGCACCTGCGCCACACACGCCCCGCGTCGTCAGCGGCGCCCAATGAGTGGCTAGGTACGATGCCGCACTGTCATCACTGACACAAACGGCCTGGCTCGCAGACCGAGGGTAGCAACACTGGTCCGGCTCGAGGTTCACTGGACGGTCACTGATCCCAGCAAATGTATGCAACAGGTCCATTGTTGCTGGCGGCTTGTGAATGCAAAAGCTGCTCACGCATCGATGCTTTAGCACACGTTGGCAATACAATTAGCGTCATGTGTATGAAATCAAACAGGGGCGACACGACGGTGGAGAGGCACTTACATGATTATAGAAACGCGTGGAAAGCCAAAAGAACGCATAGGACGTTCAGTAAGACAGGTGCTGACCATGAATTCACCGCACGACTGGCCCACACATATCTAGGCGTCATCGTAAAGGCACGTGCCGGGCGAGTGGGGAGGACTCACGTAGCTGTATCGGTTGGTGGAGAGCTTCAGCACGTCCTCCATCACCACCTTCAACGTGTCCGTCAGCGGCGTGACGTGACTGAAGATGACACGCTGGTTGTGCTGAAGCTGTACCCTGAACAGCGACAACAGGGAGCGTGTCTTAGTGAGACCATGTAGGTAAGCTTAGTGTGTCTTGCCAGTGCTGGCTGCACCAGCATCCGCAGAAATACAGCTTCAGGTTCACATGCGGACACATGCGCGGTGCGACAAAAGCTAGGCTGATTTAGGCTGGGCCGGCCAAGCACGAATCTCACGTGGGCGCGCAACCCGTCAATAGAAGTGCGAGGGTTTACCGTAGCATTTTAAAAGGATCCACTCCTGCTTTACGTCTTCACGTCTCCAGTGAGCAAACACAAGTTCGTTCTGTTCCCCAAGTTGTCTCGGCTCGAGGCCAAATATCTAAATTATTTCCAATTGGAAAAGGTTAGCATAGAGGCAACGGCGTGTAATGTTGTGAAATGGCACAACACAAAATGACACAATGCAAGAACACTGATGGTGATTGGACCAAACAGGAAGTATCAGTTTGAAGGCCAAGACGAAGAACAAAACAAAAGACATGACAACATGACCGTTTTTTTACGAACCGACTGAGCAACTAACACCTTGTGTTCGATCACAGATTTAGAATAGACCGTTTTTGGCGGTTCGGTCACACGTTCACCATAGGAGCATGGCAGTTTAACAGAGCACGATGACCGCCAACGAACTCCAACGGAGCTGCGTCCAACTCTGACCGGCGTTCCCGTACCCCGCCGTCTGCCACCACTCCCGACTGCGGAAGTCGCTTCACGCCTGCCTCGGGCCGCGCGCCTCCGGCGGCCCCTGGCCCAGTATCGCCGGACGACGGTCCCTGGGCACTCACCAGGCGGCCAGCATGCGACTCGAGTACTTCTTGGGGCCGAAGTCCTTGCCCTGCGAGGCGCGGCTCTTGAACATCATCTTCATCTCGGCGTCATTCTCGTCCCGCCTCACACCGAAGTGGAACATGGCCGTTGCCAGAATCTGGCGCACGCGGTACTTGGTCAAACAAACCAGTCATGCTCACCTGCATACAGCGGCATCAACGCTTGGTTTGCAGTGGTCAGCTGATGCAAAACCGGGGGTGCAGATGTCCGTCACAAGCACAAGTTTGCAGCACAGAATCAGCAAAAACAATGTGACCACGCCATAAAAGTAACTCCGCATAGACAACGACAGTTGACGCAAAGAGACCACTCTTCACGACGGGCGCCACGCCCATCTTCATTACAATGATGCCCCCCCCCCCCCCCCGCCCGTCGGCGGTCACCATAGAGCTCGTGAACGTTCGCAAAAAGAGTTCAGCCGAGAACACGGCGCGAACCGTCAGGTGGCACCGACAGCCGGCTGACCCCGGCCCCACCTGGCAGACTTTGCCCAGCGACTTGGTGTCGTCGGGCCGGTCGTCGGTGAGCCGCGCCACCAGCCGGTGCATGACGTCCAGGGCGCGCGCGCGCAGCCGCTCGGCGCGCGGCAGCACCACGGCGCCCGTCTCGATCGACAGCGGGCTCAGGTCGACGGCGCAGTTCCAGCTGCGGGGCACCGGACGCGGTCAGCTCGTCCGTGCGCAGGCAGTCTCTCGGAAGGGGTGCGTGAAAAGCCCGCGCCAGCGCGCGAGCTGTTGCCAGACGCGCGGTGCGCGGCGGCTGGAGCGGGCACCCATCTGGTGTTCACAAAAGCCCAGACATTGGATAACAGAGGCGCTGAGCCTCCCGGCGGCGCCTCCCAACAGGCCAGGGAACCATGACGGTGGGCCATGGCATCACGCCTGGGCTCCTCGCAGCGCAGCGGGCGGCAGCGGCAGTCGCCGTGGCACGGCCAGCCAGGGTGACGTGTGCAGGGGGCGGGGCCGCACCGACTCACAGGTTGATGGTAGCGTCGTCGATGGGCGGCAGGCCGTAGCAGGCACCCTTGAGGCCGAGGTGCAGCAGGCTGAGGCGGCACAGCAGCTGCTCACTGCGGCGGACAGACGACAGAGCGTCACCACCGAGGCCGTCAGCCAACGCGGTAACACGTCAGCTGCCGGCCCGACCGACGACTGGCATCACTCCAGTCACCAGGACCGGGCGGGCTCGCAACCGGGGCTTACATGGCGCCGCGCCACTCAGGCACTGTCCTTCCACGTCCCTCCACATCCGGGTCCCTGAATGACAGCTGGATTGCAGCACGATGCCCACTTCAACAGTGATAACGCGGTGTAACTTCCAGGACAATGCAATCTGGGAATGGGCACTCCTGGTTACCCGCTCCCAGAGAATGCTAGACAAATGTCGATGTAACCTAGTCATGAATACCACTGCGCGTCAGTGCCGACCCCGTATCCCGTGAGCCTACAGACGAGGGCCGCTCATGTCACGCCGTTCCTCAAATACTGCGGTATGGATCGCCTCACTTGTTTAGCCGACTCGTGTCCTCCATGAAACGGTCCATCTCGTCCAGCTCGGGCACGACGAACTTCTGCACGAGCGCGGCGGCCCACCCCACCTCCTCCTCGGACGGCACGTGCCAGCGCAGCTCCAGCGACTTCATGTCCGTGCACTTGCCCCACTCCTGCGCGGCGAGAGCGTGCGGTCAGCGGGCGGACTGGCCGATCGGCAGACAACGCCCTCTGAACGTGGCACAGCATCAGCACACCACACTCTCTTGGTGAAAGGCCCGCAAAAACGACATTGGCCCTGTGACTGGGTGTGGCCGTGCACGGCTAGCGGTAGGTAGGGTGTGGGATATTGATACTAATCGGTGGAGCCGGATAGCCCACAATGGGACGATGAGTTGTCAGTTATCAAAGTCGGTCCGCGCTGGTCCGCCCCGGGATAACCACCGTACCCGGCTGTCGGTCTGTACCGGTTGGTGGTGTCGCTGGATGCCGTACCCGGACGATGAGGTGCCGGTTGTGAGCGTCGGCCAGCCGGCGGCGCCAGTCGCCGTGGTCGGTGATGTAGGTGCCCAGCAGGCCGGTCAGCAGGCTGTGCAGCAGGTCGGCCGTCAGCTCGGCGCCCTCCGGGCAGGCCAGGTGGCGGCCCCGCTCCAGCACCTGCTCCAGCCGCTCCCGGTACGGCAGCAGCCACTGGCCGCACGAGCACACCATCTGCCGCAGGCGAGACGGTCTGAGAACAGGCCCCGCTGCGGCAGCAGCCACCAGTCGCACGAGCACACCATCTGTCGCAGGCGAGACGGTCTGAGAACAGGCCCCGGTGTGGCAGCAGCCACTGGCCGCACGAGCACACCATCTGCCGCAGGCGAGACGGTCTGAGAACAGGCCCCGCAACAGACGCATTGGCTGAAGGTCCCGGAACGTTCGGAGTGAAAGTCACATGTCAGATCATAGGCAAGCCCATCAGCATTGACAGGTCACGGGCAGGGTGGGACCAACCAGAGCCAACCCAGCCGCGCAGGCCACAGCCGACTTTCTCGGCCAGCTAACGCCAGCTGGCTGTGTCTGAAAGCTCCACCCGGACGTGTGCTCGGCGACGTACCAGGCCAGCGGGACAGACCTCTTTCAGCAGGAGCATGTTGAAGAGCAGCTCCTGATCCAGCTTCTCCTCGGTCTGCACGTCCTCCGATAGCTCCAGGATGGTCTCCACCACCGGCGGGATCAGCGTGCGCAGGCCCATCTCCGGGTTCGCCTGCGGCAGGCGACGGCGCGTCAGACACCGGCCGCCGGCAGCGGACAGCTGGGCACGGCGCGCTACTGAGGTGGCCAAGTACTCGACTCGGACTCGCTGTGCAGCGCGGCGACGGGGCGAGTCACCAGTACAACATCCTGACGTCAGCACATGACAATCCAAAACGTGTCGGAGAAATGACCCAGGCCACCAGTCAAGCAAAGCACTCTAGCACCATCCACGTCAATCAGCGTCCGCCGTCGCATTGACGCTCATACCACCACCCCAGCGACAACCTCCCATTGCCGCGCCGTGCCGCCTCTCTCTCACTCGTCCCCTCCCCATCCCCTGCCCACACTGGCCAGACGGCGTCCGCCGCTCGTTCGCACCCCCGGCCACTGACCATGATGGCGCCGCACAGGAGCACAGCGGCCAGCTTGCCGGAGACGCGCGTCTCCAAAATGCGGCCCACAATGACGTCGCGCAGCTTGAGCACGGCGCAGCGCTGGATCTCCGGCGACGCCTTGTTGAGGATGCTGAAGCAGGAGGTGCGCAGCACGGTGAGCAGCACGCCCTCCTCCTGGCTGACGCGCTGGCGCTGCTGGTCGGGCCGCGAGTTGCCCTCCTGGCTGTTGGGCTCGAGCAGTGCCAAGAAGCGCGATAGCAGCTGCAGTACCACGTCCTCCATGCCGGCTGTCTGCAGGCACACCTGCTGCTCCATCTGGCGGCAGAGGCGGGGCGTCACGGAGGCGGACAGCTGACGCCGCTCTGCCAGCGCGCGCGACGGGGTGCTTGGGCGGCGGGTCAGGACGGGCAAGAAAGGTGTTTCCTGACTGACAGCAAAGCAGCTCTCTTTAGGTCAACAGCAATTCGGAAGGTCGACGTCGCCACTTGAGTTGCTCGTAAAAACTGACCTGGGCGATCAATGCACAGTACACAGGTGTAGAGCAATGGCAAGCCACAACCTAGTGGAGTAATCTTGAAAGACGATGAGGGCCACTGTGCTGTGCGCGGCAGCGAGTCAGCACCTGCGGTGAGTCTCGGCCGGACGCCTCCGCGGCGCAGCGTCCGGCGCCCACTGACCTCGGTCAGCTCGGGGTTATCGGCCGCGCTGGAGCAGTCGACGAACGTGATCATGTCGGCCAGCCGGTCGATCAGCACGAACGTGCACATGGTTTTGAGCTTGTCGTTGGGGTCGATGCCAGGCAGCACCATCTGCAGCAGGGGCACCACCTCTGGCCGCGGCCCCGTCTCGGTCATGGTGCGCAGCACCGCGCTCACAGCGTTCATGGTCGACGTCAGTCGGTGCGGCTCCGTGATCGACTCCAGCGATTGGTGGAAACTGGGACAGAGTGTGACGTCACAGCGGCGGCCCAGCGTGCGGCAACGCCACAGGGGTCAAAGGCCACAAGAGGTCCGAGAAAGTCCGAACACTGCAGGTGACGGTACATAAACTCTTAGCTGCACACGACAAAGTACGCACACACGCACGAAGAGAATAAGAGCATTCGGAGAGTGACTGAAGAGACGAGCTGTGCAATTGAAGGAAACAGGTAGTGTCGGCCCGCAGCTTTGAATGGCTCGGGTGATAACGGTAACGAACGTAACTGTCGGCCGAGTCCGCCGTAACATTAAAGAGAGTGTTCCACATCTCTATGGGGTTTTGAACTGAAATAGCCATCTTGGAAGACCTTTCGGGGCAGTTCACAGCCCTGCCCCTCTTAAGACCTATATCCCCCAAGTGGCTGAACTACACGCCCGCGAAAATGAGGAAAGGAATATGGGGGAAGAGTATTTCAAAGATAACCTCGACATTCATGGCGCCATCATAACGCCATTCAAATACTAGCATTCCACAAGCCATGCGGCGATCAAGGTGGATACAAATATACTGGTCGAGTCGTTCATATCTGGCGTTCGTGGGTACGATTTCCAGATAAACCGGCCGCTAATTGGCTCTCAATCAGTGTTGTTCGGGTGCGATGACATAACCAAGTAGTGACGTATCGAGGAACATTTTATTAAATAGAGAAATCGTGTTGTCTAAACCAGTCTTTTCTACTTCAAAGCATACCATTGGTTACAAGTGAGCTTGCTTTATATCTGATGTTCGCCTCAATATTTGCAAGTGTGAAACCTTCCCTATAAGCAACCGGAAACTTTCCAGCCTCGGCGGCCCGGCCCGATCCGGCCAGTCACGTACTAGACCACCCTATATCCTTGCAACCAACGGTTGCAGCTTCATGGAACTTCAAACAAAAAGCGGCGCCATTTTTCAGACATTGCACAGTGTCTGCAAGGTGCTCACACGCCAGCTTTTCGGCAACGCTCGGTTTTCCTGCAGAATCGCGCTGTGTTAAGTCTGCCAGTCGCAAGCGAATTGGCACAGGAACAATCGAGATCTGACCCGAGACGCCGGCAGCCCGGAGCACGCTCACTTCCAGATCGAGATCTGACCCGAGACGCCGGCAGCCCGGAGCACGCTCACTTCCAGATCGAGATCTGACCCGAGACGCCGGCAGCCCGGAGCACGCTCACTTCCAGTGATAGAGAATGGGACGTCGCGTGGGTACAACTGCATCGAATGAACCGAACGCGTTTATAATCTGAACACATTACACCATAACTGCTACAGAGAACTGCACTGCTGGCTGCAAAAGCTTCGCGTTGGTTCAGGTTCGAGATCAGTGCTTGCAGCGATATAAGAACGTCGAAAGCAGGGCAAGCCAAGACAGGCCGCTGGAGCCACAGATATTCATGGTTACTGTTAAGACAAACTGGAAATATGATCTCGCTGGTAATCAAAGCCAGTGTCAAGTTACGAAGAACGGAACAAAAGGAATACAAAATGAGCTGCCATAAGTTTCATACCATACCATTACTACGAAGCGTTTGTTGTCCCTACATTGATATCTGAACCTTCCCGTAAGCACAGATCGATCTGGCCACCGCATAGCGCGTCTAGCAAACACCAGATGCCGCCTGCTGGGATCATGCCTGTCTGATTCATGTGAAGAGAAGAAGTCACGTCTAAAGAAGAACGAGCACATTTACACGACATTCAATGATCGGTGTTACCCCAAACAGCTGCCGCACCGGCCAACTAAACACAGCTGTGCTACGTGCCGCAGCCCGGGTGAGTCACATCCGTACACCGCACTGCACGAGACAGAGTGCGGCGCGCCGCCACCGCCGCCGCCCGCCCGCACGCCCGCAGCGGGCCGGCTGGTGCCGCCGGCAGCCCGTGCGTACCTGTCGATGACGGGCGGGATGACCAGGTCGGGCCGCAGCTGCGCCAGCGCCCGCAGGCACTTGTTGGCGTGGTGGCTGTGCGTCCTGCGGGCGGCATACAGCGGCGCTCAGCGCGGCGGAGCACGGAGCGTGACGGGGCGCTCGCCCCCACCGGCGGCCAGCTGTGCGCTCCACAGACCACGCGGTCACGGGCGCCGGTCATCTCCGACCGTACGGCGGCGCTCAGCGCGGCGGAGCACGGAGCGTGATGGGGCGCTCGCCCCCCATCGGGGCCAGCTGTGCGCTCCACAGACCACGCGGTCACGGGCGCCGGTCACCTCCGACCGTACGGCGGCGCTCAGCGCGGCGGAGCACGGAGCGTGATGGGGCGCTCGCCCCCCATCGGGGCCAGCCGCGCGATCCATAGACCGCGGATCACGTGCGCCCGTCATCTCCGACCGTAGATCGCCAGTCACGAGCGCCAGGTCACACGTCCACGGGGCGTTGGCTGACACCAGATGTCTCCCGCGCTATACATCGACACAACTACAGGGAAGCCTGAGGAGGGCCACTCCCGACGGGCCGACGGATCTCCAACAGTCGAAGTATACACCCGCAGCGTGACACTCGGCGGTCCGGTCAGCCGCCCGACACGAGTTCAGGATCAAGCGTTCACAACACACACAAAGCTGAGGCAGCGTGCGTGGCAACAGAGCTGACGCTGAGCTGCGAGGAGCAGCCTACCCACCAGGAGTAGATACCGAGCAGCGCGCACGGCAGCACGCCTTGCACGAAGCGTGTGACGTCATCGTCGGTCAGCTCATGGCCCTCGGCCGTGTAGTGGCTCCAGGAGGCCTTCTTGAAGCGTTCCCTGAAGCGGAACCGAGTCATGATGACTTCCATGCATGATGACTCGTGAACCGTCATGACTCAAAGACCATGCCCCCACAACCAGCACAGTCACGTGAAAGCACAGCAACAGCGTGTCTGCGCACTGTACAGAAGGTGACCTGAATGGTCATCCCCGACGCAAAGCACGGTAATGTTCCTCAATGTTGACGTCACACATTAAAGGCCTTCAGCTATTGGTTTTTTTGGCATTACGGCTTCAAAGTTATTATGCTGAGTTAGCATGCAATGAGCCACTGGTACTAGTCAAACGGCGCAGTAACGCTAAATGACTTTCATATCGATGTTACTCATTATTTCTAGCTGTGCTCATCCTTAAGACTTTTGAGAATGTGGCTCACTTTTGAGCATGAGCACACCTCGAAATACTGAGCGCCGTCAATACAGTCGTTACATAAGCACTGCGTCATTTGACCCGCACCTCCCAGTCTATTGAAGGTCGTTGATTCAACATTAACTTCTGGTCCCTGTCATCCCTGTGCTTACCAGAGATAGAACTTTGAACGCTTAATGTTGACCCGGTTTTCAGTTCACCGTACAAGTCGCCAAGCGGCGACCGACACCGCGGACGCACCTGTTGTAGCGACGGACGAAGACGGCGCAGACATTGTTCAAGAAGTGGCTCAGTGGCTCCTGCCAGGTTCCGGCGTTGGACGCGTAGAAGTACGACTCGAGCGCCTCCAGCAGGCGGTCCAGGTAGGCCTGTGCTTCACCGCCGCCGCCCTGGCCGCCCGGACACGGCGTTAGGCGCGGCTGACGGCTCACCTCAGGCGCTCTGCTAGCGGACCAACACGACACGACACGGGGCGGCGACCGCCCAGCCGTGGCGGCGCGGGACGGCGCCGCTCCGCTCCCGGTCAGAGCCGCCGGCGTCCCAGCCGCCGGCCGCGGGCTGCGACGAGCCCTCACCTGCCGTGGCGGCGCGGGACGGCGCCGCTCCGCTCCCGGTCAGAGCGCGCCGGCGTCCCAGCCGCCGGCCGCGGGCTGCGACGAGCCCTCACCTGCCGTGGCGGCGCGGGACGGCGCCGCTCCGCTCCCGGTCAGAGCCGCCGGCGTCCCAGCCGCCGGCCGCGGGCTGCGACGAGCCCTCACCTGCCGTGGCGGCGCGGGACGGCGCCGCTCCGCCCCCGATCAGAGCCGCCGGCGTCCCAGCCGCCGGCCCGCGGGCTGCGACGAGCCCTCACCTGCCGTGGCGGCGCGGGACGGCGCCGCTCCGCTCCCGGTCAGAGCGCGCCGGCGTCCCAGCCGCCGGCTGCGGGCTGCGACGAGCCCTCACCTGCCGTGGCGGCGCGGGACGGCGCCGCTCCGCTCCCGGTCAGAGCCGCCGGCGTCCCAGCCGCCGGCCGCGGGCTGCGACGAGCCCTCACCTGCCGTGGCGGCGCGGGACGGCGCCGCTCCGCTCCCGGTCAGAGCGCGCCGGCGTCCCAGCCGCCGGCCGCGGGCTGCGACGAGCCCTCACCTGCCGTGGCGGCGCGGGACGGCGCCGCTCCGCTCCCGGTCAGAGCGCGCCGGCGTCCCAGCCGCCGGCCGCGGGCTGCGACGAGCCCTCACCTGCCGTGGCGGCGCGGGACGGCGCCGCTCCGCTCCCGATCAGAGCCGCCGGCGTCCCAGCCGCCGGCCGCGGGCTGCGACGAGCCCTCACCAGCATGCCGATGATCCAGGAGGTGAGCGCCGGTATGACGTGAACGTTGGCGCGGTGCGAGCCGACGCCCTTGTAGGAGATGGGCAGCCCGAAGGCGCGCAGCAGCCGGGAGAACACCTCGGGCAGCAGGTCCGACCAGTCCACCTGGCCGGGGTTCTCGAACGCCAGACGCGCCATCAGCAGGCAGAGAGACTGTGTCGGCGACACACAGGACAATCAGCATACAGATGGTGACTTCCTGCACAGACAAGGCAACATACACCAGCAGCTCAACACGGCCCGTCAAAGCAACCAAGATGATACTCGTTTGTTTCAGCTTACCAGACTGTTTTGCTTCATGGCTTGACAAATAGTTTGAATTGTTCCACACGGTTTTTGCACATGACCGATTGGGACAAATTAAGAGTGAAGTGCTGGAGAAACTCATTTTGAGGCAAACAAACATACTAGTAACATGCCGCTATATCCCATCACATCCCAGCAGTGTCGTGCCTTTGCCCAAGTAAGCCCAGTTGGTTCATACAAGCCCTCGGCTGCTAAGCCTCCACCTGGCCGGGCCCTCTCATTCGGTCCCAGCCATCAGCAGCGCCCTTGCCCTCTCGCCCCGTCCTAGCCGTCCCCACCTGGTCCCAGGCGCCGCCGTTCTCCAACAGCGAGAGCATGCCGGAGAGCTGCGGCAGCCACAGCCGCCAGCCGCGGTCGTAGAGCGCCGGCGGCAGGTCAGTCGGCAGAAACACCTCCAGACACTCGAGCACCCAGGTGGCGGCGCTGTCGAACGGGCACAGCTCGGGCAGCAGCTCCGCCAGGATCTCGGCCGTCGCCTCCGTCGGGAAGAAGCTGCCGGGCCGACACACAGGTCAGGTCAGGTCAGGTCAGGTCAGGTCAGGCCAGCCAAGCGGCAGTGCAGGGTGCAAGAGTTAAAGCTGCATTTCATACGAATTAAGTGGGTCTATGCTCACTGACGCATCTTACTTTCTTGCGCACTTGCCCATCGCGAACTGCACTTCCCCCACCTCATACAAACTGCTCGCACATAGTACAACACTTAAAACTAGCATGATGTGAACATAAGAGATCACACTGACCTCCGGCAAAGGCGCGCCATGTTCTTAACATAGCGAGGCGTCGTGCTGAAACGAAAGACCGCCGTCAGTGGTGAGCGCATCAACAGAGTGCACGCCGACTCCGACGTGGCGCCGATCCCTTGACAGCGGTGACGATCACTTCAGCACACGGTCCTGTCACTGACGAGCGGCACCCCCACGGCCAAAGAGTCAGAGACAGCGGTGACAATCACTTCAGCACACGGTCCTGTCACTGACGCCCGGCACTCCCACGGCCAGAGAGTCAGGGACAGCGGTGACAATCACTTCAGCACACGGTCCTGCCACTGACGAGCGGTACTCCCACGGCCAGAGAGTCAGGGACAGCGGTGACAATCACTTCAGCACACGGTCCTGCCACTGACGAGCGGCACTCCCACGGCCGGAGAGTCAGGGACAGCGGTGACGATCACTTCAGCACACGGTCCTGCCACCGACGAGCGGTACTCCCACGGCCAGAGAGTCAGAGACAGCGGTGATAATCACTTCAGCACACGGTCCTGCCACTAACGAGCGGTACTCCCACGGCCGGAGAGTCGGGGACAACGGTGACAATCACTTCAGCACACGGTCCTGCCACTAACGCGCGGCACTCCCACGGCCGGAGAGTCAGAGACAGCGGTGGTGGTCACTTCAGCACACGGTCCTGCCACTGACGAGCGGTACTCCCACGGCCGGAGAGTCAGGGACAGCGGTGATGATCACTTCAGCACACGGTCCTGCCACTGACGAGCGGTACCCCCACGGCCGGAGAGTTGGGGACAGCGGTGGCAATCACTTCAGCACACGGTCCTGCCACTGACGAGCGGTACTCCCACGGCCAGAGAGTCAGGGACAGCGGTGGTGGTCACTTCAGCACACGGTCCTGCCACTGACGCGCGGTACTCCCACGGCCAGAGAGTCAGGGACAGCGGTGGTGGTCACTTCAGCACACGGTCCTGCCACTGACGCGCGGTACTCCCACGGCCGGAGAGTCAGGCAGCCCGAGCCAGCCCGTGCACCAGCCTCAAAGCATGCTTACGCCATAGTACGTCCGCCAACAACGACCACGCAAATACACGGGCCATATGTCAGGAAAACTGGGGAATAATGCACAAAACGCCTTCTGATCCCCATCTGTCATCCCTGCACTTACTCGAGATAGAAGTTGAGCCTCATAGTGCGGAAGGGGTGCCTGGTGAAGCTCTTGTACAGGTCGTAGATGGGACGCCATTGGATCTCCAGGTCGTCCCGGCTCAGGTTCCGCTTCCTGGCGAGTCACGGCACGCGCGGACGGTCAGACCGAGCCCGGCCACCGGCCACCGGCGTCAGAGGTGAGCAGATGTCGCACACTTCGGACCACAGTCACTTGCGTATGACAGCAAGCAGTAGCACCCCTAACCACGGCACGCGCGGACGGTCAGACCGAGCCCGGCCACCGCCACCGGCGTCAGAGGTGAGCAGATGTCGCACACTTCGGACGACAGTCACTTGCGAATGACAGCAAGCAGTAGCACCCCTAACCACGGCACGTCTTGCGATCGGATGGATTAACACATGACCCAAACCCTAGTAAACATATTTGTAGACATTATTTTGCGTATATTTTGTATGGGTCGCAGCAACACAAAATGTACTCCAAAGCATTCATAACTGTAAATAATTTGTTAAACCCCTTTTGACTGGATGGATTTCTGGAATCAGAGATCATGCTAAGCAGTACTTGTTGTGTAAACCCTGACTCCATCATTTAATCGCGAAACTCCGCTTCAGTGGTAAAATTTATGGGCAACGCACTGCTCGTCCAGCCCTTAGACCTCTTCTGACCTAGAGCGGCCACTGCCGCCAACCGTACGCCATCCCAACCAGGGGAAAAAGCAAGCGCTTGTAGTAGCTCGAAGGCGCTCGGGCCAATGCGCCTCGGGAAAGGCGCAAGGCGAAGGCGCGGGCAGGCGCTCAACCAATCGAGATATGGGGTTGGTTTTCGAACACACAATTGCTTCAAATATATGCGAATTAACGTAGGAAAAAAACGGCGTAGGAAAAAAAAGAAAAAAAAGAATTCAACCATCAGCACAATGTTCCTAATGCTTCGATATGTCAAATGCACCGGACATTTTTGTGAAAGCAGCTTCCTTCTTCCTATCTCACAGATCTCGTATCAGTCCACTATTTACGAAAGATAGCATGCGTGCTCAGGCGCTCCATAGTACACCGGATGGTGCGGCTCGCACAATGCTTACACTTTCTTGAGCAGTCGAATCACCATCTTGCTGCAGGCGTCCACATTTCTATAGTCGGTCGGCGACCGCTGGATCATCTTCAGGTACATCTGGATGAACAGGATGTGGTCCTCCTTGGACATGAAGAGGTGGTAAACTTGCAGGTACCTGACCAAGCATTGCCCCATGAGTGGACGGAGCAACCATGGGGACAAATAGACGAATGCAAAAAAGTGCGATTGGCAAACTGCAACAACACATTGCAGTTGCACTTAATCCAATGCTGCACCAGGTCCAAAAAATAAAACCCAGGGATGAGCTTCGAGTGGCCGCGACATTGGCTGTACGTTCTCGTGACTCAGGAATAAAAGCAAGTAACTATCGAAACCAGTTACTCCGCATCGACTACCACGCAATGGCCACTCCCGCGGCCCACCACTGGCCCAGCCGGCACACGCGTCTGCCAGTGTCCCAGTCACTGACGCGGCAGGAGAGCCTCACGACCCACTCACACGCCCAGTCGGCTGGTGTAGATCTGGAAGCCGTGCGTGTCGTCGCCGGTGAGCGCCACCGCCATGTTCAGCTTAATCTTGGCCAGGTTGTCGGCCGCCTCGCGCTCCAGGGCGGTGCTGTACGGCAGGTGGCGCAGCGAGGGCATACGCTTCTGCGGCCGGAAGCCGAGCCGGGACTCGCCCTCCGACACCTCATCCTGGCTGTCGGCGTCCTTCTCCCAGTCGAACTCCTCCTGGTCGCTGTCGTCCATGTCCATGGCGAGGGCGGACGCGGCGGCCACCGACGGGTCCCCGAGCTCTGGCGGGAGGCGAGCACCGGTGTCCAAGCCGAGAGCGTCAGGACTGCCCCGGGCGGACGGGCGAGTCTAGGGCGCAGCAGAGGTAAATAGAACAGCGCCTGGCCGAGATAACTAGCGCGGAGACAGCTACTAAGCAGCGGGTGGTCGCTCGGAGCACATTGGTACTTGAAGAACCAGCAAAGGCCGTGCAAGAAAAATGTAACAATAGGTGCTATTGCGAAGAGTACAGCTTAGCCATGTGTGAAGCAAACCATGTAGATCAGCCAAGCAAAATCCTCAGTACTTCCATTCTAGCTCCACAGGCCATTATGTCTGCAGCCTCTAAACTGCATTGGAACATTTCAAGCCACAATATGTAACACTACCAGTTCACAAGTTGTGCCAATTCGGTCTGCAAATGGTTGATGGCCATACCATGACCAGTCATGTAGTTTGCTTCCTCTCTGGGACAAAAACCCAGAACCACAAGATCAAAGCATTTTATCTTATTATCATGAGCATGTGGAACACATGTCTCTAGTAGGATGTCCCAAACAAGTTTCCGGTGTTCCTGGTGTGTGCGGCCACACAGTGAAGTTTGGCTTTGGCAGCCTTGCAGTGCTCCCACTCTGAGGTAAACCTGGCCATATGCCTGCCAGGCTGTCATGGCAGGCATCCTCTGATATGGACGCACATGCACACACAAAAGAGGAACCTGTCTTTCAGGTGCTGCATGCACAGCTGTGCTCAGACGCACACAAAAATGGTGTAGCATGTGACCACATGCGCATAGTAGGTGGTGTGTTGGGTGGCAAGTTATCAGCCAGCATAGTGACCAAGCACCTGGGCATGAAACCAGTGTTCCATAAGCATTGCTCTGAGTCTGTGTGATGTGGAGGCAGCATCTGTGAAGGAGCTCCCTGCAGGGATGTATGATAAATATTGGTAACAGTACTATATCCTAGCTGCTACTTAAACAAATAACTGGGCTGATCATCACTTAAAGTCAGGTATAGAGTAAGCTGGGAATTTGAGTGCTATATAGACAGATGGGAGAGACATCAGGTCAGCCAAAAGCTTCTATCCAGCTGTAAGGAATCACTTCAGGTTTCAGAAAAAAACTCACATCGCATTGCTTTGTGATCAGCTGGCAATTGACCACTGTCATGCAATCACATGTCTTGTGGCACTGCATACTGATACAGAATGCCTAAGTCTTTGCAAACAAAAAAAGATTAATGCATAACAGGTTATAAGCAGGTTGTCATGTTTAATCAACCATAAACTTAAGTTAGCAAAAGGATCAGCAATGGGTCAGCAATGGGCAAAAAATTGAGGACATTTGCAATAAGCTTTTCTGAATGATCATACCATCTACAGAAAGCTTTCCTTGATGGTTATCATGCCAATATTGTGTTTTTAATGTAGAATGAACTGAACATGCTACCTCCAAAGGATCACCAAGGAGGAAAAGACCATAGGATCAGCTGTGAATTGAGCCTGGACATCCCACATGGAGGTTGAGCACCAAAGTCCTGACTGAGCTACTTTTGCCCATCATTTTGCAACAGATGGTATAACTGTGCCACAGTGTGCAACCTTATTTCACAAAATATGCAGCCACTTTATTTATATTGTGTTTCTAGAAAGAAAATGATTTTATCTCTGTGCATTCAAAGATAAGAAGAGTAAGGATGTATAGTTAATAAAGAGTATAGTGTGTACAAAGTAAAAACACAGATAAGAAATACTTTACCATCAACTTAAAACTTTGATAACATGGTTATAAATATGAGGGAGCTAATCCTTCTATATAGAAGCCTTACCTTACAGTAAACTAAGCTCTCAGGGAAATGTCTTATATGTTCATTAAAACCAGTATGGTGATATGGTAAAAAAGGTGAGGGGTGAAACCGGGGCATCACCAGCACTTGATGTCGGGAAAGATAACAAACAACCCATATTCAGGAATGTAGCACCCTAGTACTCACAGGGCAATGGCCATAATTTTGGGAGATCCTCCTATTTCAGCAATGACTAATAGGATTGAAACTGGTATATAAGTAGGGTCATGCATGACTAGAACAATACCACTGCTCTTCTCTACCTCAATAACAACATTCCCTGATAAAGCGAGTGGGGATTGGAATGGCATACTAATGATCCATGGTTTTGTTAGATAAAATGATTGTTCAATTTTCATAATTTTCATCTTCCAATACTTATCATTTAGTTTTGAAATGTTCTGCACCCAGACTATTCCAATGTTAAGTGGTTTCACATTCCAGCTTCTTGTGGCATTGTTGCTATTCAATTCAGAATGAAAAGGCCGATAAGCCATCATTAAGCCATGAAAAAAGGCCTTCAAAAACCTTTGGTAACCACACAGATAACAGTCCAATGGTGAAACAACCACAGAGTGGTAATGAAATACGAATGTAGATAGCTGGGATTTGTTGGCAGGACTATACATAAGCAAATATATATATATATATATATATATATATATATATATATATATATATATATATTTATATTTATATTTATATATATATACATATATATATATGTATATATATATATATATATATATATATTCACCTCAAAATCATATTGTTGACCAGGAATTTTACCACCAGATGGTCTGGTCTGGCCCTGTACTGCTTAGCATGGGCAGTAAGCCCACACCTTCACCCAATTAATAGACTGACCAAGTGGTCAAAAAGCAGGAACACAAAGTCATAAATCTGTAAATAATCTATGAATCTCAAGAACCACTATAACCAAACACTTACTGAAGTACAGGCCAGCATCACAAAGTCTGACTGTACAATACATGGAAGACATACTGCCCCACCTTCCCTACCTTGAAGAGGTGCAACAGTACACTCCATCTTAGTGGTTCCACCAGCTTCAGTAGTTACCGCGGCACCATCCACTACAAGCGACTTTTCTGCCTACTACATAGGCATCTGCTTATGTACCTACCTAGTTAACGGGTCTACTGTTGGTTGAACGAGGAGCTTGTACAAACATACGGGACCCTAAAAGCAGGGGCGATGACGACACGTAACCACGGAATACGTCTAGAACATCACCGCACGAATGCACGAATGAGTATCGACTCGACAACATGCACAGTCATTGCCTGTGGACGTAGAGAAACAGCTGTACGAGCTATGGGCAACGCACTGGGAAGTTGATGCGTTCGGAAGCCAAAAATGCTGCAAGTTATCTACAAAATTAACATTACACCACAATTTGTTAATCCTTTTTTCTGAAAAGTTGTCACAACTAACGTTAGGCACCCGATCAAGACACTCTTCAATTTTGCATCTGCACCCCCCAAAATACCGTAGTTTTCCGCGTCAATATTAATCAAGTTTTTCAAGGTCATTTCAGGTGCTTCTCATGCATGTCCCTAAAGTGCTGCTATGCAGATTTTAATCAAAGTTGCAGCCTGTTTCTGGCATTGGTGATTGTGAAAATGGTATTGTGGCTGCCCCTGTGCTTTAAAAAAACAAGGCTGCCTTAATGACTTTTCAATATGAACGCGTAGCAAAAAGAAGCTCACTCCACTACGCAATTTCGCAAGCACAAGGCTCTGCAGTGCCGCGGCTCGATGCCGCGCCCACAACGCATGGCCGGCGCTGTTGCTTCGAACCGGACTGTGTGCAGTTCTTAGCGTGTAAACTTGACCCTTGGGTGCCACGTTTGTTTGCTTGTTATATATAGATCAAAAACCAAATATCGTGTCTGGGTACCGGAGAAATTGCTGTTCAATTCATTGAAATGACCCTGATACAGCGCAAGGTATTGAACGGTGGATGGCCGCTCTGCTGTTGGAGAAATAACTGTGACGTTCACATATAAGATATTCGCTGATCGCCAAAAGTAGAAATGCCAAAAGTGGGTTTGCTGTGCCAATCACCAATGCCAAAAGTGGGTTTGTGTGCTGCGGTTTGACAACACTTAAAGACCATTAAACAACTCATCAAACAACACTCAAATATCAGACTCGGCCGACGGTGTCATTTTGTTCAAAAGATAATAAAATCTTCGCACCTAGTATATGACTGAAAGTTTCCAAGAACAAATTGTTCAGTGACGTATTTTTACCGGACGCTAACGCACTGAACGTAAAAAGCTGAATGTCTTTCCCCTCCACCCTTTCGTCGACCGTGTCAAAAGAGGGCTTGCTAAAAGGCGACATCACATCCACATGACTTTTTGACGACTAATAGCAGCTTATTGGAATGAAAATAAATCGTAATTGACCGAAATACTGAAAAGGCGAATGTCATGCTTAAAAAGGATTGAGAAAATTTAAGTTTAACGAATGGAAAATCTCCGAATGGTGAAGTACCCAAATAACTTTTATAGAAAGTGAATTCATGGACGTGAATGTGACGAATGGAGACCCCCGAATGGCCGAATGTCTTTTTGGCGAAATTTCAGTTTGATGCACGACAACTAGACGAACACAAATTCGTCAAATGGTAAGTTAGCTAAAATAATGTTCGAGATGTGAATTGAAGGACTGAAAATTAGCTTGAAGCGATGAAGCCAGGAAACCTTGGGGATGGTGCTTGGCTTGTAATTCGCGTGAAAGGGGTTGGTGGGTTGAAACCAATGTTGATACGGGCAAAGAGCAACTCGGATTGGTTTGTATTGTACAGTTTTTCATGTAATTGGACGGAGCAATGGGATAATAACTCTCACCGCTTAGACCTGGCATGACATTTTGGAAGGCGCGTCTGCCGATTTTTACAAGAATCAACCGCTGGAGGTTTATAGGAGCTTCAGCTCCGTTTCCGTGTCGTCGTGGCATATTTCACTTATGCTCGTATAATGGGGGTCAGTTTGACCCCGAAATACTTCCCAAAAATAATTTTCGAACGGCGCGGTGAAACCACGCGAAACTTGCCGTAGGTGTAGGCAATTGAAAACAGATCTTTTGGAATACAAATTAAATGTACTGCAAACATAAAATGTACTTGCATTGAATTTAAATTTAGGTCACTAACCTGAAATAAACATCAGTGACCTCTTGCCCAGAACAGGTATCTGTAGGTCCAGGGCAGTTGTATGAGGTGGTCTGGGGGGGCGGTGAACACCATTCTATAGTTTGACCTTGTTTGACCTTATTTAAACCAAACGTCACGACCCACGAACTTCTCATGCACAAATGAGATCACATACAGGCCAACCCACCCTGTACAATTGATGCACCTAGCTTTCTTAGTTTTTGAGATCTCGAGGGTTTAAATTGACCCCTCCCACCCGAGCGGAGGATGCTCAACCGGCCACCCAGGTGAATGTTTAGAGGGGTATCCCAGTTTTACGGTACATTACATTTACATTGCATTTTATTATATTTTTGTACTTTTCACTTGTTACACCTTAAATATCATTTGCGTACTTAACATTATATTTCAATTCATATTCATTTTCATATATCACCAATGATATATTTGATCCGTGCTACCAGTTTTTAGAAATCCTGCTGAATACCTCATTAAGTCAATTTGAAGAAGCTAGACTTGCGGGAGAAATCTCATCCGGCTCCCTGTTCACCGTTATGAATGAAATACATTTAATTTGCCTTGCTTTTCCAACTTGTGTATTCTGTCATGTTTGCGACACACTTGAGTGCAAATGTTTATGTAACAAATGCTACGAAAGCTTGATACAGTCTGTGCAGGCAAATGCATATGCGATCATGAAGCTACTATCCCGCAAATTCAAAGAAACGTTATACTACGACTTTGGTTTCTCTTCTATGGTGTTTACCACAAGGGCCCTTTGCGAAGAGCACGTTGGCTTCGGGATGGGTGCATCACATGATCCATGTGAGGCAATGGTTCAAACTTAAGGTAACAGGCCCTTGCCTGCTGGGCCAATTACAAACGTTCTTCTATTCATGCTAGTAGAGATGCGCACGGTGGTTGTCATGACAACGGCGGTCGCGACTGTAAGAAAGAAGGCGGATCTAAAAAAACCGGCATATTAAGCAGATGCGCTCTCTCTCCCGATGAGGGGGGGGGGGGTATATATGGGGCATGTATGTCACTTGCCTCTGTGAATGATGAGTCATAAACGTATGAGGCAATATCGAGACCTAAACTGGGGTCAAACGCCTCAGAAACGCGAAGGGAAAATTTTACATGCAGATGCGGACAACCAATATCTCAGAGCTTACTGCACCCATCGCTGTAAAATCTCCACCGTTCGTCATACCTGACTCCTGCTGTCGGTTGAAAGTTCGGTGACCTTAGGGCAGGTAAAAAGAAGTCAAAATTTGTAAGTTCAAGAATTCTTCCTCCCAGAAAACTCGTGCAGAATTTATTGCTCCCATCGTTTCCAAACCTTTCCATTCAGTACGTCACTCACCCTGATTCCCTGTTGAAGCTACATGTATCGTGTCATTTGCCATTATGCCTTTTCCCTTTACGTTTAATGCCAAAAAAACGTGTAGCTTGTGCGGGCTGGCCGTATGAGGCTAGTGACATCATTTGTCAGTTGAATTTCTCCTTAGCAGATGTGTTGTACTGAAAATCACGCGCTGAATTGTGCGTAGTGTCGTCAGGGTTAGCAGAACCGTGGCCATGGTCGACGTGGTGGTGGCTGGTCGATGTATGTGACGTGCGAATCCCGTTATATCATGATTATGTACCGGCCTCCTCAGCACCCTTTGGTTGGCTGCTGGCTCAAAGTCATTCAGAAGTCATAGATAAGACAGTAGTAAAAGGCTTATTCCTCTGAGAAAAACCAGGACAATAGAGATATGGATGGGGTTTCTTGGTTTTTCTCCGAGGAAAAGGGCTATTAGTACTCTCTTATTTATGTGAATAATGTTCCTCGCTAATGCACTGAACAACGCACGTGATTTCATTCAGTGCGCTGAATCGAACTGAGAATAGGCCACCATTGTGACGGCTGCTGTAGATTTGATGTGCTCGCCTGTGAGAGCAAACTGGATGGGTCAGACCGAAACGGACCGGTTTGGTCAATGCCCTGCTGCGACAGATCCATGACCTCAGAATCTTTCTTGGGGACATGTTTTTTGCACTCTGTGTATAGTTTGTCACCGAGCTTACAAGTACCAAAAGAAACAGGGCGAAATGACCAGAAAGGCACCACTGCTTTGGTTAATGGGAACTTTGAATTTCACCGCACGTGTTGTGCACAGCCGCGTCAATGCATGATTCGACGATTACGACTGTCCCAAATATCTCCAATTGGGTATATCTATATTGAGTATATCTATATAGAGTGTATTGAGTATATCCTTGTACAGTATATCTCTTGTGTAGCGTACTTTGTATGCCTGCTCACCAAAAAAGAAGACGACACACTTCCATTTGCGCGCAAAATGTGGAGAAATGTTATTGCTGTAGTGTGCAGGACCGTAAAAATAGAAATAAATGCCGTGCGCCTGTGCACCACAAGAAAAAACAGCAGCGTGTGACTTCGTGGCATCCATTGCAACTGCTAGAAATGTCCCATCCAATGGTGAAGGTTTGAAGACGATCGGCACAATAAATTATGAACAAGTCATCTACAGCTAAACATTTTGAAATTTGTAAACTTTGACGACTTTTGACCCGGCCCAGGGTCACCGAATTTTTAACTATATGAGGAATCAGGCTGGTGCATCCAATGGTAAACGTTTCGCAGCGACCGTTTGGGCAGGTTCTGGGATCCGAATTGTCTGCAAGCAGCAGTTTTGGAATTTGTGAAATTTCATGAATTTTGACCCAAACTAGGCCACCGAATTTTCTACTGCAAGCGGGTATCAGGTACGGCACATCCAATGGTGAAGGTGTTACAGCGATGGGTGCACAGCAGGCACTGAGATCTGAGTCGTCTGCATTTGCATGTAAAATTTTCCCTTCACGTTTTCCAGGTGTTCGACCTCAGGTCAGGTCTCAATATTGCCTCCCCATGAATCACCTATTGCACGAAGTTGATTGGTGAAGCTTTCAAGGCGATCAGACCAGCCGTTTCGAAGAAAGAGCGTGTCTGCTTCATATGCAGGCATTTTTCGACTTTGCCAGGAAAGAAGGGTAATGCTGTTACAAATCGTCGACAGCGTACTTGGGCTCGGATATTATTAAAAGGGATACCCTTTTTGTGTCTTGACGGTGCTGCAGTAACACTGTTTAGGGATATCATAATGCTATTTAGTCCTGAGGTTTTACTAGCGTACACTTTTGAAATATGCACTAAAGATGGGACATTCTCTTTAAGAGAACATGAGAGTGTAGCACTCTCCTGTCGAATTGTGCTAGCATCCATTTTCGCAAACTTACCGCATGTTTCTGACGTTCCTATTCGGAAACCGAGTTATCGTCGGCAGATTGATCCTTTCCTGATACCAGCACGGGAAGAATGTAATTTTACCGCTCTCTCAGATATTTTACCCCTAGCACTTTGTGGTGCTTTAAAATTTATCACATGATCGATATCCTAAACGTACTTTTTCAAAACAGACACGAATGTTTGTCATATTCTCGTGGAATCTTCTTCCCAAACATATCAAATGTCTGGCTGACTCCGCGCTGCAGTGTACGAGAAGCAAAATTTGAATTGTACCTGTGCCGTAAATGCCATGCCATGCCTATGCCGTAAATGCCGAGGGTAGACATAATTACCCAGAGGACACGGCTGAATGTGGAAAATACAGTGCGACTTGTACTGTATACAAGTGTGGAGACAATGTAGGCTTTCCCCAATGGCTTCTCCTTCAGCATCGGCTTTGTGCCAAGCTCCACAGCTGGCTTTAGCTCCAGCTTCAAGCCCCTTTAAACGGTTGGCTACGGCTTTGGTTGCATATTTGTACCATCTCTCACTGCAGGCTTCGGCTTTGGCTTCGGCTTCAGACAGCTAATTTTTTAACTGAGGCTTCGGTTTCGGCGACACGGATCTTAAACTGGTGTCCTCAGCTTTGTCGCCGCGTTTCTTTTGCCTCGGTGTGGATTTTATCAAAAATCGTTTCGCCCATTCTGTCATCCTAATTTGTTTCAACACAACTTTTCGAGGCTACCGCGCGTACATAGCTGAATGTCACAAACCAGCCGGTCATTCTCTGGACCAACTAACACCTGACGACTGAGCTCCATGAAGTCATGTACAGAAATTTATTGATGTCCTTGTGGCGCAGTTATTCGATATGAGCTTGAAAAACTCCGGAACGTTCCAAGTTTCCCAGTAAAAAACTATTTAGTTTTGACCTTATTTGATCTTTATACCCGACCTTAGGTGAATTAAATAATTCGTGATCTTAAGTTGAAATATCTTATTGTCTAAGAAACTCTCTCAAAGTTGTAGGATCAATGGTCGCATCATATTGAACCATTCCCCAGGAATTACATTGGCTAACAGACATAGCCTGTTTTAACGTACCGTAGTTCAACAACTTTACGACGCGCATCTAATTGTCTCCACCGAAAGATCGACTATTGAAATGCCTCTAGCAAGTCAACGTTTGGCTTTGCTTCGCCGCGCCGTTCAGCAATTATTCTGGAGAATTACCTGGTCAGAGGTCAAATTGAACCCCGCCTGAGCGCGTGTTAAGGTCTGCCCCGCTCATATGTGTATCAAATTTAAGTCACTGCATGACAAGACATATGTACTCAATTGCATTGGTGGGTTATGGGTGCCAGAAAGGTGCCTTTCATTTTTTGCCCCTTCGTCTTCAGGAGTGCATACGAATACGGCCAATCAATGCATCAGAAAATTCCTCTCTCACGAGTTGATGAGTAGAACATGGCGATGCTCCTTCGCACGACCTATCTGAGTTAAATAAAGTGCACACGTTAGCCTTATTCAAGGTGTTGTATGATTATTCAGCGTTGGAGAAAGCCTGCGCAAAAGCCAATTCCGCAGCAATTCTAAGGTGCCAGACTCCTCGGGCTGTTCCACGTCGTTCCTTGACGGCTTTTGCAACCCAGTCATTCATGCATCCGGAAAAAACTAATCTTAACGGTAATTTAATCAGTGAACCTTGTATCTTTTTCAAACCATGCACATTTCATGTACGAATTTTGTCCGTCTCGAACCGTTTCAATTGCGAACTTTATGCTTCACAAATTACCCCCACTAAATCTTGCCTGTCCTGATCGTTTCCTTACACAAATGCTGCTTGCGGACATTTTCCATTGCAAGTTTTTACCAAAACGAACGTTATACGCTGCAAGCATTCTCCATCACGAACACTGTTGTATTTCTACCATTCCATTTCCCATTACGAACATGGACCTTCGCGCAAGTAGTCCTCACGAAGCCCGCCAGATATAAACCTTTTATCTAGAGGATTCTGCGTGTGAGGCTTTCACACACACAAGCACCTTTCGCTTCGAACGTTATCCGTTAAACACCTCGCCTGTTACGACCAGGAAAGCAACGGATTCACTTCCCGGTTTGGCGATGTCTGCCCGGATGGTGGTTTGCCGCAGCATCCGCATAGGATCGGCTTATGGACGCCATCTGGCCGGCTTCGTTGGAAAGTGCAGAGTATCACTCGTGTTCTGCGCGATGCAAGATACACAGAAGCATGGTGGCTGCACACCAAAAGCTGCATTGACACTAGCATAACGAGCATATTGCGCACGTCACACGCAACTCGGTGATTCATCTGTTTTAGGTGAGCATCGCGCGCTTAAAAAACAATGCCAGATCGCTGGAAGGTGTAAAATACTCTGGGCGACTGCAATAATTTAGTCGATACACGTTTGATACACTTCAACGCCCACACAGTGAGAAAGCCATGGGATCGGGGTGACAAATCGTCCAAATGCAACCTGCAAGATGCCTCCCATACAACATTAAATATGCCACGGAACGTCTTACAGTTCCAAAAATACACAAAAAGCTTCGCATCATAATGCGTGCAAATAAGTGCGTAAGTACAAAAATACTTAGCGAAAGCAATACAACAAATCCCTGTTCCAATATCAATGCACGCAGGGTTACCTTGGCACCTTTCATATTGTTTGCACTTATATGTGTTCCAAGTGTACACGCTTATGAATAAGTCCTTATGCCCACGATGACTGTATCCCTGATGAACAGAATTTATGTCCCACATTTGCGAGATGCCGGACATTACGGACGGCGGCATTTATCTCCTCTCTCGCTCAATTAGGGTCGAATGGACATCACCTTTTTTACTACACCACGGTTAGCACAAAGTAGCCAGGGAGAGAGAAAGTTCGCCCAGCGTACCCAGTTCATAACCAGGGGTAAGGAGGAATGGAAGGCAGCCAACAATGCGCAAAGTAATGTATTGATGGCCCTTTTTATGCTAAAAATGCCGTTTCATTCGACCCACGCCCGGGTGGCCGGCTAAACACTTTTCGCTTGGGTGGAGGTCAATTTGACCCCCTTGAGATCTCAGCAACTAAGAGAGCCAAAAACACGAACGTTACGGTGTGTTAGCCAGTATGTTAACTCCCTTGTGTCAAAACTTGGGGTTATTCGGTCATGACCTTCGGGTCAAATAAGGTCAAACAAGGTCGAACTCAAGATTGGTGTCCAATGCGCCCCCAGGACAAATATACCTGTTCTGAGCAAAGGGTCACTGCTGCTCATTCAAGGTCAGTGACTTTGTTTGATCTCTCGCAGGTCATAGTGACCAACTCATACAAGACTGCTTTGAATTTCGCATTTGAATAAACGTCAAAAATTACGCTAGGCAGTATGTTCCTAACGACAAAATGTCATTTTAGGTCAGGGACCTACCCTGGTCTTTAAGAAGCCCATGAAAGATGTAAAATGCAGTCCCTGTTATCAATATATTCTAAATGAGTACCGGAAACGACCCCATTTACTGCTCTAGAGTAGTAAAACAGGTTGGTTTTTACCTTGGCCTGACTTCCACATCCGACCCTAGGTCAATGCAAGTTTTTCATTCAATTGTTGTGCTGCTTAAGAAACTATGTTACAGCTGTATAGCTTCGTCTGACACCCTGTTGTTGCATCAGATTAAACGATTCTCTAGAAATGTCTTAGCTGAATCCATGACCTGACTTTGACCTGCCGTATGTCAGTGACCATGCATGGTACATCTAAATTTCTGATGCCACACAATCTGCCATTAAATTTTCTACAACTTTGCAAAATTTTACGCAGCTACTTTGCGTCCGCATTCTGGAAAACCTTGGGGGAGGGTCAAATCGACCACCTCCCTAACACGTGTTAGAGGCCAAACATTTCTAGACCCCTAGGATTCGGTTTTGTTTCAAAACGCAAAACGAACAGCTCGTGTATTCAGCTTCCGCATCTGTGTGCTACTCGCCGGGCGGCCATTACCGCCCAAACGCGGCTGCGCCGGCGGCACGCGGGTTCGCAGAGGCCCGGGTGCATTTCCAGTTCTCGGCATCCATCCCGCCCACATGCGGTTTCGGGTCGTCTGTACTGAATCCGAGCCTCCCGTCGCTGCCGGCCGGCCGGCCAAGCATGGTGACGTCATCTCTTGGTGCGACGCGCACGCCAACTGGCGGCAAGTGCCGCAAACTCGGCATTGGTCGTCCTAAAGTGAATTGAATATATGCTACCCCTTACTCTGAGCGCCACCAGCTTTAAGTCTTCTTTATACATTTTTAGGCAGCTAAATTGACGTTACTTGCAGATCATGACACGGAAAAAGCTGGATAGCCTGGCTCTGGGGCATCGATGCAGGGGCGGTTCGTGGAACGATTCCGCCCGCGCATGGGCGGCTGGGCGGCCTCGGCGCAGTCGGTGGCACCGCTCCGTAGGGTGAGAACGCGCGAGACCGTCCTCCTGGCGCGACTGTGCGAGCAGCGCCCACGAGAACCGTCCCCCGCGACCTTGCGGCGCCTGGGCAAGAGCGGATAACTTCGGTTTTGCAGTTCAGGTACGGCAGACGGGTGGGTGCGGAAGCCACATCGTGGCACACCGTGGTGACGGAGAATGTGGGAGGGGCCCCAGTCTCTGGCAAAACTATTTCAGCAGGCCTGTGATGGGCGCGGTTAGGCGCATTAATGGCGGTGCACGGGACGGACCCTCCCGCTATGCGCCCTGATGCGCGCCCTGCCGTGCTCTGCGGCGTCCCCCCGGCCCAGCCCCAGACGCCATCCTGTGGGGCTCGCTCACGTACGGGTCCTCGCAGCCGGTGCAGCAGGTGGCCGGGTGTACTTTGAGACGAAGCCCGTGCTTAGGTGTGGCTCTAGGTGGAGGTAGGTATTATCCCGGTGCACGGTGATAGTAAATGTCAATATTTTGCAACCCGGCTCTCCCGAACGATAGATCAGGTTGTTTTCGCTTCCTGGCGTGTGGGTATTCAGTGCATCATCGCGCCGGCTCTCATTGCATAATATTACATTGCAGTGACAGCAATGAAACACAGTGGACGTACGTATTCGGTGAAGTGCCTTCATTAGGGACATTGGTCTATTACAGCTTTGTGGGCGCCCAGCAGAAGTCCTAGACAGCTTGAAAAAATGTTCTACATTGTTATCCCAGAATCGGGCAGAACTACGCCACCAACACAGCGGGTGTCACTCAATGACCAAACGTATCAAATAGTACTTGTGTCACTCAATGACCAAATGTATCATATAGTGCTTGTGGAATTTCATGACGGGAATCCCTGAACGGTTACCCAGTACGTGCCACAAGCTTACATCTGCCTTCATTCGCCGTCAACGATCAGCGCCTGCTGTGATACGGTAGCGCTTTCTCGCGGACATCTTTGCCCTACACAAATTTGTGAGCGTTGTACATCATTGCAGCCACATGCCTTCTCAGAACACGTAAACTGTCATTCACGCTAGTCTGTTTATTGAATGCACTGGGCGTTGTATGGTAAGGGATGCCTACCCTGATCAAAGCGGTCAACAATAATTATTACATGGACGTACTGCCGCCCCGCGAAAGTTTGAGGGCCCTGTAACTTAAGCGTTCATTTGTTCCCTTGTTGGCTTTCGAATGATCGAGGGTTTTCACATCTTGGATATTCCCAAGAGATCGCCTAAACCTGAATGCTAATCTGTTATGTCTGACTGAGGGATGCGTTCACACGGACCACGCTCATTACCCACATTTTGTGTTTAGATCCTGCTACTGCACGCTGCTCGTGATATGTTGTTCTTTTGAATAAAACGTGATTATTCTTAACCATACATACAAAACATGCGTGGAAATTTTTATTTGAAGTGATTGGGTATGTCCAGGTCAGGGGTCGTTTTTTGTGTTTAAACGTGTATTTATTTGTTGGCAAAACTCCCGACGCATTTGCTATTTTTCATTTGCTAGGTTTTCTTTTTACGTGATGCGTAATTTATATAATAGTTCCGCCGAGGCTTGGCTTAACACAGGCCCAATGGGGGGTACGTTTTTGACAGACACAATCCCTTCAACTTGACCGTGCCATAATGACCTGCTGCTGCCGCTGGCTGCCGAGAGTAGGCGAGCAAGCCACCGACTCCGGCGCCGACCTTGCGGAGCCGGTGATTAGGCAACGCGGCCACGTGTGACCTCAAGCTCGTGCCGTGAGTCATGCCGGCTGTCTCTGGACGGGCTGAATCCCCGCCCCCGCCGCCGCGCACCGGGCCGCGCCGCCCCCGCGCACTGGACCTGGCGCCCCCGCCGCCGGCCGGTGACCGCGTCAGAGGTGCCGACAGGCGCCCCCGGCCCGGCGGCGGTGCCTGCCGTCTGCACCGCGCGCGGGCGGGCGGCGGCGGCGCCAGCGGCTAGCGGCCGACGGCTGGCTGGACGGCGGACGCAGGCCAGCGGCCGACCGCTGGTCAGCTCTGTACGCAGCAAACGCATTCAATGGGCGGGTGCCGGAGGCACATGTCTCTCTTTTATCAATGTTGTATGCACGTTAGCGTGCAATAACTGTCAACAACTCCGAAATCGCAGTAGCCGCGCAAATAAAGTAGCTTAAAAACATGCACTGGTGTTACGTGGCATGCAAGAAACTCCGTGCGCCTGCAACGCTCTCAAATGGTCTGAGCATCTTGAGTTGCTACCCCCCCCCCCCCCCCACACACACACCATCGTAGAATTTTACATACGCCCCCGTGTGAAAGCAACGGAGCGGGGCACGCTCATTGCAGGCAGCTACCGGATTCCTGCCTCCGGAAGAATCGGCAGTGAGCCGATGGCAGTTAAAAGATAAGGTTAACGGGTGACAGCGGATTGTCCTGGAGGCTCAGTTCGGCTGTTGTCACAGGACATTCATCTGATCAGGGACAAACCTTCCAACTGGAACAGAGTGCAGAGCACGTTTTTTACCATCTGGATGTCTGCCACCGGCGCTTCGTTGCTCAGGAAGATTTGTTAACCACGTATGTGAAGAGAAGAGCCTGTGTATAGGTAACTCTAGTAGCTTTCACTTTGCTCCCGATTTGGGAAGGCCACGCCGTGGATTTGATAAGTTTCCGTCGTACCTACCTCCTTATCATGCGTATCAAGTGCGCTGTCTAGCCGTCAACATTTCGGCGCATGATCAGGTCTTCCGCGAATGTAAGTTTGAGGTGTTCTCCGTATAAGCTGCAAGCCTTGCTCTAGCATGAACGAAGTCCAATGTCCCTCATCTGCCACGCCAGTCAGCTGGTAATCGCCAAGGCCATCCATGCCAGGGACCGCTCGTGCGTGTGGTGGGCGGGCAGGATCGATGCCTCTCTCCCACGTCCAGCCACGCCGGGATTGGGATCTCGGGAGTCAGGGGCGCCCCCAGGGGGCGGGGCAGACCCACGTGCTTCCCTGCTGAGCGACTGGCTTATCCGTTGTTTCACAACTCCTTCGGGCCACCCACGGGATGTCATGTGCATTCCGCCTAGTCTGAGTCCTGCCGCGGAGCCAAGACACGGTGTGATCCTGCCTTCGGTGACGTCAGTTTGATGAGCCCTCGACCTAGAGTCGCCCCTGGCTGTCAGTGCTGCTCTGGGTGGAGTCGGAACAGTCGGTCGCACAGTGGCGACGTGGTCTTCCTGCAGCGATTACTTGCCACAGTGGGTGAAGTCGAACGAGTCCATGTCGGACCAGCGCTCGACCTGGACTCGGCCGTGAGCTCCGCGTGGCCACGTGGTCGCCCGTCCATTGCGGTCCCCACACTTACTCCTCCCAGATATGGCTGCCCTCGGCGACCCTCTGTCCCTCCCCACCGCTGTGCCTGGACGCGCCCATGCGCGTCGCCCCCTCGCCCGTCGACCTGCCGTCACGCCTATGGTATTCGTGCGCCGCTGGCGGCGGCGGCGGCGGCGGCGGACAGCGCCGTGTGAGGTGCCGCGGTGCGCCAGCTGGCCGCAGTGGCAGCTCGCGTGGGCGTGGCAGCGGGTGACGCTCCGTCCGTGCGTTACAGGAGTGCGGCAGACGGTGGACCGGCCGGCGGCGCCAGCACACGCCCACCATGTCGTTCCTGTTCGGAGGCGGGTGAGTGGAACTGGACGTGCCAGGGTAGGGTGGCGTGGGTCGATGCGTGATGACTCGGTGGCCGGCTCCCGACACGGGCAGCCGGCACGCGATATTGAGCTGGCTCCTGCGCGGGGTCTGTAGGTCACCCGCGCTGTAGTTCACCTCACTGTAATGTAGTCTCACTGGAGGGAGCCCACGCTGTAGTTCGCCTCACTGTAACGTAGTCTCACTGGAGGGAGCCCGCGCTGTAGTTCGCCTGACTGTAACGTAGTCGCACCGGAGGGAGCCGCCGGAAACATGCCTCCTAAATACTCTGATACCCATTGCAGAATGGGCTACCTACTCAGCATAGCTATATTCAAATGTAAACAGGGATTTTGATCGTGCCTGTAGTCTCCTTAAGCGACCAGCGGCGTGTTTTCGTTTGGGGCACACCATCGTATATCCACCGCTCGACGTGCTGTAATCAGACGTCTGGGCGTGCCGCGTAATCCTCCGCTGCCAACCTGCTGCGCTGAGGCGAGGAAACACTGACGAGTTGAGGCTTTGTCACGCTTTTCCCGCCAGCCAAGGCCAGGGAGCTGGAGAGCGAACGCATGCTAAGCTGACGTGTGAGTCAGAACAATGCACGGTATTGATGATGTTTTGTAACTTTCAACACCACATTTACGGTTTGCTTTAAAGTCAGGTGCGTGTTATGCCCGCTCCATACGTGCATGCAGAACTGGCGTAACTGCAGCGTGAAGTTGTCCATTCACTGGTGTTGACATGCTCATGTTCTAAACACGCGAGACAATTGTCGAATGCAACACCCACACGGGGAGCTCGGTTTGTGTGTTGAAGGGCGATATGGAGCGCCGAGTATCACAGTACGCGGCTGACACATGACGGAAGGCTTTCACTGCGGACAGCGGGCGATCAGCAGGTGACTTGACGATCGATGGCGAACGCGTCGGCTTGACGCTTGACGTCGGCACGTGTCGTGCAGCGGCGTTTCGCGGTCGATGACAATCAGTGGGAAGTAGTGCCTGGGCGCGGGGCGGTGGGTCGATGTCGGTGTTGTGCCGGGGGCCCGGTTGCAGCCTGTTTGGTCCGTCGGTGGGTCGGACCCGACCTCCATCCGACCTCGACTCAGCCTCGGGCCATATCGATCGGCGGCGGCGGCGGCGGCGGCGCTCTTCCGCCGCGCGGCCGACTCCGGCGGCGTCGGTCTTCGCTGTGCGCCGACGGCCAGGCCCGTCCCAGCTCCCGCTGCTCTGGCCCGGGCCGGAGGCCAGTCCCAGCTCCCGCTGCTCTGGCCCGGGCCGGAGGCCAGTCCCAGCTCCCGCTGCTCCGGCCCGGGCCGGAGGCCGCTCGGGCCGGAGGCCAGTCCCAGCTCCCGCTGCTCTGGCCCGGGCCGGAGGCCAGTCCCAGCTCCCGCTGCTCCGGCCCGGGCCGGAGGCCGCTCGGGCCAGAGGCCAGTCCCAGCTCCCGCTGCTCCGGCCCAGGCCGGAGGCCGCTCGGGCCGGAGGCCAGTCCCAGCTCCCGCTGCTCCGGCCCGGGCCGGAGGCCAGTCCCAGCTCCCGCTGCTCTGGCCCGGGCCGGAGGCCAGTCCCAGCTCCCGCTGCTCTGGCCCGGGCCGGAGGCCAGTCCCAGCTCCCGCTGCTCTGGCCCGGGCCGGAGGCCAGTCCCAGCTCCCGCTGCTCTGGCCCGGGCCGGAGGCCAGTCCCAGCTCCCGCTGCTCTGGCCCGGGCCGGAGACCAGTCCCAGCTCCCGCTGCCCCGGCCCGGGCCGGAGGCCGCTCGGGCCGGAGGCCAGTCTCAGCTCCCGCTGCTCCGGCGGCCAGACTCACGCCCTGTTGTTATTGGCACACGCGGCAGCAGCACAGCCCCGCGCGGCGGCCCAAGACGGAATACGTAAAAGATGGACTGTGTTTTTATGTTTGCGCGATGGACAACATCGATGCGATTTCGTTTGGTGGTTTGGTCGACGCAGGACACGCCCCAGATGCTCACGTAAAGATAAGTCAGTCGTTACGAAAGTCATTACCGTCGGCGGAGTTACCAAGCAGTTAATATCGTCGCAGGTACGCAAACTTCCGGCGGTAGTCTAGAGACTGAGACCGCATGGTTTAAGTCATAATTCAGTTCGGAGTATGTAACCTATTCTTCTAATGTGACGTTACGCTTGCTAGCTCAATTCTGCAAAGAGCCACTGCTAAGAAACCCACAGAGTTAACGCGCATCACTTACGTTCTTCTTCGCTGTGACTTATGTGGATGCGTAGCAGAGCTGTTAGGAATTCATGCTCTACATGATGAGATGGTGCAAACTTGACTACCTTTCGCATGTTTCTGCTGCTCTAAACCTGCATTACAATTCAACCTGTCAGCATGCCATGTAAATTACGTATTAGCAGGGGCTTTGTCCAGACTCGTGAAGGAATCACTTTTCCTTCATCACCACAGGTCCATTAAATACATTCACATAAGTTGTGTGATCACTGGGTACCACAGTGGTAGGTTATGAGACCTACCACTGATAATCGCTACAACTTATCAGTCTTATTTTCATCTGCGAAAATCAGACTGATAGGTTATAGCACCTCAATCCGGGTCCCAATGTTGCCGCTTCGCAAACATTTGATCGACCGGACTACACTTGTGCCCGTTGGTACAGCTGATCGGCGGCTGTGTACTATGTCTCGAGCCAGTCGTCAGCCTGTGTGCCCTGTCGGATAATGAGCGTCGTTACTACCGACACGCTGCCCACCTGTAGTAAGCGGTGCCGGCCGGCCGGCCCGGCCGCGTGTGCTCGTACTCGCCCGCCCACACCCACGTGCTGACGCACCGGATCGCCGCGCGGGCCAGGCTGGTTCCGGGACTGGGCCCGGGGTGTGCCTGTCGCCCGCGAGCGAGCGGTGCGCGGCGCGGCGGTTACGTCACGCGCGGGGGCCGGCCCGCCGCGGCCGGCGGGCGGGGGGGGGGGGGGGGGGGAGGGCGCTGGCGCTGGCGACGAGCGGCGCAGCGCCGCGCCGCCCGCGACACGTGACCTTGGCCAGACCGTCACGCCTGAGGGCATTCCCAGCGACGGCGGCGCGGCCGACTTCTTCTGACAGGGGGCAGCGCGGCTTCGTTCGGTCGCATAGCAACACGCCAGATGCATGTATGCATGCTGGTGCAGCGCTGACCGGTGCCGGTAGTGATGGCACCGTGCCAGCACGATGGCCTTCATGCGTGGGCCACACTTTCGGGGAACACGTGCATCACCTATTCGTCATGGTTTGGCGGACTTGTTCAGGGCGGGGCCCTTCGTTTAAAGTATTCCGAAGTGAGGCCCTCGTCACTCGTGAGCGCTTCAGTGCCAGCCAGCGGTTCAGTTCTGGGCTTTCAGTTCGGGGTGGGAGCCGTCGGACCGTTAGTGTTAAGTATTCACGAAGTGAAGTCTGCGTCATTGGTGAGCGGCTCAGTGGCTGTCAGGATAGTTAGTGCACCTAATAAATGTTTCGGAGTAACCTTCCAAACCATTCGGTGTGTGGTGCTGAAACTTGGGCTGGCTGGATTTGAGAATTCTGTGCACGTTAGAGCTCAGATTTCCCACTGTGTTAAGTCACCGACATGTGGCTCATTTTCAAAAGTCTGCGCTGCCAAAATGCGGAGAATCGGCGCTTTGAGACGCATTCTTGGCACGAAATACACCGCATAGTCTTGTTTAGAGGCTCGGAAGTAGTTCGGTGGTTGTAAGCACGACCGTATCGATGCCTTTCACTTTCACAGTAGCTGCCTGTTCTTATCTTTAAACGCAGCTGGCTTGTTCCGAATGGATTGAAACGGCTGCTTCTTTAATTCTGTGTCGGCATGTCAGCAGAGTTCTGCTCTCTGGAGGTGCGCAACACCTGCCGTGCCGTGCGGCCCGGGTGTTTGGCTGGCTGGCGGGTGGCGCGACCGGAGCCAGACAGGTCACGGTCTTCGGGAGCACATTGTGCACGTGGATTGTGCAAGCACTGATGTAACGCGCTAAGCTCTGCAAGTTGTAGGTTATTAATTTCTGCGGGTTTAAGATTGCGAATTCCTTCAAACGAACGACGCGGCGACGCTCGAATATTTAGGGGATGGGGAGACGAGGTCGGGAATGTCGGATCTCCCGAGAATGGATAATACTGTCGTTCACATGCGACGTGCACCAGATCGCTCGTGGTGAGGCGGTCCTTAGGTCGCGTGCAATGAGCACAGGGCTGCTCTGGTAACAACCCCGTCAAACAGTGGCGGTTGGCTAGCCCAAGCCTGCATCTCGAAATATCTCGGCTTTCCTTGACGCTGACAGGGGCTGTGTGAATTGTTATACCAGTTGCGAATAATGGCGTTCAACAACGCGATCGGGAGCCGTCGGCCTCTCCGAGGACAGCTGGCCGGAGCAGTACGGCTACTCCGAGGACAGCTGGCCGGAGCAGTTGGCGTGATTGTATTGATCTGACAGACCGCCCTGGGTTGTGTGCCTGGTTTGATCGTGCTAGGCAAGTTCATCGACTGATCGTGCGGATGGACCGGCGTCCGAAGAGACATGCGAGTAAAGTACGAATATGTTAATTTGTCAAGTTGTTGGCGGAGACCTCTCAGACGCTGCCATGACGTGCGCGAGGCGAATAAGGCTCTGCTAGCCGCGAAAGGGACCATTGTGCGACCACCCAGCCGGAGGACCGAGGCGCCCAAGCACCGCAGTCTGGCTGCTTACATGGGGACGCGTCGTGCGGCGTCTTATTTACTGAAGTCCTTTCGTCTGGCAACGCCCAGCAGGTTTCAAGAGGGGAGGGAGGAAGGGAGGTCGCGGTCCGCGGGATCCTGTATCATCTGTGAGGTCGCGTGGCCGAGAAGTCTGATCGTGGTGCTGCCCAACCGAAGCGAGCTCGTGTAGGGCGGTGGCGAACCACCGATCAGTTGAGAACCAACATGGAATGAGGGTGTTTGTGAGGGTGAGAGACTACTGTTAATTACACGTTTCGAATTCGAGATATGCAGGGTGGCAGGTCGATTAGTGACCTGACACAGCGTTTGACGCTAGTTTGGCTCGACCCCATGCTTTCCACGTCAGACAGGGCTCTGTTCTCGAAACTGAAGCTAGGAAGCGGTCAATACCAGGTCTGCATTGCAGTGGCGACGGAGACAGTTCAGCCGTATCGATTTGGGACCTTTTTTAACTTGACGTCGTCAGCGGTTGGTAATGCCGATGCGTGAATGCGGTTGCATCACTCCGTTGTTTATTCATGCCCAGTTTACCTGTCGGTTGCGTTGAGATACACTATTTAAATCATCTGACATGCGCATAGGTATATCAGTGTTATCTGTCACGAAGACAGGGTCGTGCGCCTTGTCCGTCCGCTGCTCGAAGCCCCGTCAGAGCGGTCTGGCACAAGTACACACCGATTGGAGGACTCTTGGTCTCATGAAAACGCATGCTTGCCTATGATGGGCAGGGCATTTTTGCCAAGATTGGAATGGAAACGACACCTTCAGGATGTCGAGACGGAAAACATCCATGACGATACGGTGATTAGGAACTGTCTCTCCTTTCACAAAGGGCTATTGTAGCCCAAATATTTGTTCTGGTGACAGCGCGTCCTATACAAATAGAGCCATGGTGAAGTGTCATTGGCAGTCATATTCGTTGTCAAATGGAGTCTACTGCTATGCATTGCTGGCACCTGAGCTGTACATTAGTTGGGAGTTATACTTACATCTATTACCTATGTACCTGGGGCTGTACATCTGTATACCGGTGACCATCACCTGCGTGAAGTTGTGCAGTAGTTGGAGGTTATACTTGCATCTATTACCTATGTACCTGGTGCTGTACATCTGTATACTGCCGGGCATCACCTGCGTGAAGCTGTGCAGTAGTTAGGAGTTATACTTACATCTATTACCTATGTACCTGGAGTTATGCTTACATCTATTACCTGTGTACCTGGGGCTGTACACCTGTATACGGGTGACCATCACCTGCGTGAAGCTGTGCAGTAGTTGGGAGTTATGCTTACATCTATTACCTGTGTACCTGGGGCTGTACACCTGTATACGGGTGACCATCACCTGCGTGAAGCTGTGCAGTAGTTAGGAGTTATACTTACATCTATTACCTGTGTACCTGGGGCTGTACATCTGTATACCGCCGGGCATCACCTGCGTGAAGCTGTGCAGTAGTTAGGAGTTATACTTACATCTATTACCTGTGTACCTGGGGCTGTACATCTGTATACGGGTGACCATCACCTGCGTGAAGCTGTGCAGTAGTTGGGAGTTATGCTTACATCTATTACCTGTGTACCTGGGGCTGTACATCTGTATACCGCCGGGCATCACCTGCGTGAAGCTGTGCAGTAGTTAGGAGTTATACTTACATCTATTACCTGTGTACCTGGGGCTGTACACCTGTATACCGGTGACCATCACCTGCGTGTCACTCGGGAGTCCCGCTCCAAGAGAACCGGAGCGTTATGCAGGTGCCCGCCTGACCTGTCTGTTGGACCGTCGCTAACCCTGCTGTCAATCTTACGTTACAGAGATGACCGTCGTGGCGGAGGAGGCGGAGGGTTTTTCGGTGACCTCGTGGGAGCCGTGGCTAACGAAGTCATCGATAACATCCAGGACGACGGTCAGGATGGACGTGAGCGACGCACGAGGAGTAACCAGGTACACAGAGACGCGTCTGGACCGACGGCGACAGTGTTTGTGGTCCGATGACGGTACTGCTCCTAATTAGCTGGGGAGGGTCGTATTCGTTTGGTTCTAACCACCGATCTCCTCTCACCATGGATAAGATAAAAGTGACTGAACGTAGCCTTACGGTTATGGAAGATGACAGGATAAGGCAGGGTCATCGTTGTCCCCAAGGCCTCACTCACTCCTGTAAGGACGGTTTGGCGCCCGGGGCGTGGCGATGTGTAGTGAAGATCGACCCGACCGCCCTTCCTGCCAGGATGAGAGCGAGGCGACGCCATATGGCCTCAGCAGCTGAGTGAGTCGTTGAGCCCCAACAACGCCGACTGCGCTCGACCTATGCGGTTGCGTAAATGTCAGTCTCCGGGCATCACATTACCTACACATTAACACCAACTCCCTCAATAGGCCGTGAGGGTCCGTTGCCAGGTCCCCATATGGCGGCCAGTAGCACCTGTTGTCTCTGTTCCAGCTTCGGACCTGTGGGTGATCGTTGTGACCAGTCCCGTTGTGACCAATCCCGTTGTGATCAGTCCCTTGTTCCCAGGTGGCAGCCTGTGCCACTCTGAATCACACTGTTACCTCGTCCGCAGGTGGAGGCTGGTGGCACCCTGGACCTGGGCGACATCATTGGAGCCGGCGTGAAGCACTTCGGCGGCGGCGGCGGCGGCGGCGGCAGCAGTGGTGGCGGTGGCGGCGGCATGGACGACATCATCGGCGCCATGTCCAACAAGACGCGGGACGACCGCACGGACGAGGAGCGCAACAGGTACTCCGGCGGCGGCGGAGGCGGCAGCAGCGGTGGAATGTACCCGCAGCTGCCCGGCCAGGACTCGTCCTTTAACCCCAACGCGCCACACCGACAGAACCAGGGCGGCGGCGGCGGCGGCGGAGGAGGGGGAGGGTTCGACCCTACCCAGTTGATCGGACAGTTTCTCGGTGGAGGGTGAGTGGGCGGCGCGTCGGCGTCCACAGCGGGGTCGGATCGCGCATGCGCACTGCATTTGCGTCTATCCTTCGCAGCATGAGATCCAGAATGGAAGGGTAGAGGGTTAATCACTTTGTTTAGACACGGGCGACATTCGTATTTGGTTGGACATGTGCTTTGCATCACCAAGAAGGAATCTTGCACAATTATTGTGATACATGCATGAAGTGATGGCACTACACAATGTCAAGTCCACACCGTCGTTGTCGGGATGTGCACTGCTTATCTGGCTTTACTGTGCCTTTCGACAGGGTTGTCTCCAGGTGGGCTTGTTTGGGATGATACTTTCGTTCCTGCCAGTTGTGAATTATTTTGTCTGTGTCTGCTTATGGGGATTCGTAGCACCTTTGAATTTCGCTTCATAAGTTCTTTTGGGGTTCTTGCGTGTGTTTGTTCAGAACACTCGCAGGGAAATCTTGTTTTGTTTGTGTGTCCAGGAGGTCAGCTGCGAGTAGTGGTGACATCCAACCAGCATACTCTGAAGATCGGCCTGTGTGTTCTTTGGAGATTGGCTCCAGCTCCGTGCAATGCTGGACACTACACAGACAGGCGCCCGATCATCTTCAGCCGTCGGGGCTGGCTGGCTGGTGTGTGTGCCGCCGATGTCCCTTTTCGGCGCACCTGTCTGTGCGTTTGGCCGTTGGCGGGGGCCGAGTGCCTATTTTGCTGCCAGATGCCACATTTCGGAGTTTCGTTACGACATTGCATTAAGCTCCTGGCTGGTGATCCACATCTCTGTCGTGGTCCCCAAGCTAACAGACATCGCTGGCGTACTTCACCCGTTTGCACCGCTTCATGTTACGTTTCTGGCTGTCCTGGGACGATCCGGGCGCGCCGGGCAGCGACTGGCGCCGGCCGCAGGGCCGGCTGTGGCCGACGCCGGAGGCCTGGATGGAGCGACGGTGCGTGCGCGGCTGTCCTGTGGGTGCGCTGACGCCGGACCGGCTGGCAGCCGTGCGCGCGCCCACGCTCCGGCGACGCCCCTGGGCCGCCGGCCAAGTCCGGTGCGCCGGGCGGCGGCGGAGACGCGGTGCCGACACTGGGGCGGGCACCGCCGCGGGCAGTCCCCCACCCTCCGAGTGCGGGTGCTGGCTCCGGACGGCTGTCGTCCGACGGGCTCGGAACAGCCGGGTGGGGGCGGCGGCGGCGGCGAAAACACCCCGAGGCCGAAACTCGGTGTCGGCCACGGCTGCGAGGTCCCGGGACCGGACTGACGCCCAGTTCATGTCGCCCAACCTGTCCACTCTGGCCTTCCCGTGAATGTTGTTAGATTCTGGTTGCCTTGCACCGGGTCCACAGTTCTTGTTCACCGAGGCGGTGGGAACAGCCTGCTCTGATAAGTCTGGTAGAATTGTTGGAATTTGGAGCCGAGCGACATCTTTTTATTGGAAATCTTCATCGAATGTTCTACATGGATGGCTTCGGGATCACTATCCATAGTAGCTGCAGTTTGTCACGAAGACGTTGACATCCGGCCCAGGAGAGCAGTTTGAGTTCAACTGACATATTTTTCCGACTTCGCTGCTTCCCGGCGCGACGGGATCGTCGCTGCCGCTGTCCGCCTGATCTTGGCCCGTCGCCAATTCGCCCTCAAGGACGAGCCGCTCGAGCGCCGCTCTGGGGCGCGATCCCACATGTCTGCCACAAGCGCCTCTGTGGGACGCGATCCCACATGTCTGCCACGAGCGCCGCTCTGGGACGCGATCCCACATGTCTGTCACGTACCGGTCAGAGGGCTCGTCGCTGTACCAGCCGGACTACAGTGGCGATACGCTGCAGGGATGGTCGGCTGGAGGCCTACAGCTAACGGATGGATGGCTTATGAGGTCAAGTCCTGAAGCTTGACTTGACCGACAGACCATCCGTCAAATGTTTTTCATCAGTTTGGTGTATGCTCGTGTCGGCGGCTCTGGCTCATTTGATCATTTACCATAGTCGCCGACACTAGCCTGTCGGCGACTATGTAGACATGTACACCGGTCATGCCGATCGCGACCTTACGGCACTTTACGACCAATTTCACGCCGGTTCAAGTCGTAAATATCTCCCGCAACAATTTCAGGGAGTACTTTACAGCGAAGCTGTTAAAGTATCCCATAGCAGCGTCAGAGTATATATTTTGGAGTTTCAATGGCCGTGTAAGGTATAAATCAGCTGTAAGTTCATGATGTTCCATGGTCTATGTCATGATATGACTCCAGCCATTTGCACTACCACATGAAGACAGACAAGAAGCGATCTGAACTCGTGCGACGTTCCCCGACAGACCAACCAAATGGGATGTCATGCTATGGTCCATTAGGCGTATACTCATCGCACGGAGGTAGTAGGAAGGATGACGAAGCCACCCAACCTGAGGATAATGAAAACTTGCACGTCTGATGCGTCACATTTGTGAAAAACTTGACCCAAGTTTTCAGCGCATCTTGTTTTTTTTTGGGGGGGGGGGGCTTGGTTGGGCTCGTTTCGCATGCTCATTTGTGATTGACTTACGTTGAGGCAGCACATTGATTTACACATCAGTTAAGGGTCCTAGGTGCCATCAACGTATGCAGCTATTGGCGCATGGGCCGGAAGTGTTCCCGAGCGTAGCAGCACATATTGCATGAGAGATACCTCCATATGAATCTTACAGCACATCAGTCAATAACAAATGTTTGCACATGCGAACAATCTTGAAGAAATCGCATGGATGAGCATTTGTGGTTACGGGCATTCGCGTTACGAACATTGCCCCTTTGTGGACTGGTGTTTCCAAGGCCGCATTTGCCTTCGAATCTCTTTATGCGAAGTTTGTTTTAATGTGACAGAGATGACATCTCATCGCTGACATTGGACCGTCGCCGGCTGCCGCGCACCGTTCGATGACACCCAGAGCGTCGTGTTCGTGCCGTGACGTGTCGCTTAACGCCCGTCTCCTGTGCCTTCGTTGCAGCGGTGGAGGCGGCGGCGGCGGCGGCGGGTACGGCGGCCAGGGCGGCGGCGGCGGCGCCTCCGACATCCTGGGTGGCATCATGGGCATGATCGGCGGCGGCGGCGGCGGAGGAGGCGGCGGCGCGGCGCCCGCCCATCCCTCCATGAAGCACGGCGGCAAGGGTGTGGGCGGTGTCAACATGGGATCCCTCATCCAGTCGGCGTTCGGCAACGCTCTGGGTGGCGGCGGCGGCGGCGGAGGTGGCGGCGGCGCCGCAGGCCTCCTGCAGGGCCTCATCTCGGGCGCTGTCAGCGGTGCTGGCGGCGGCCACGGCCAGGGCGGCGGCAATGCCGCCAGCGGTAACCTCCTGGGCACCATCATCGGCGCCCTCTCGGGCGGCAAGAACATGGGTAACCAGTCGGACGTCACCAAGGGTGGCAACGCCATGGGCGACATGTTCAAGACGGCGGTGGGACACACGCTGAACTCCAATCCCGGCTCGGGCGGCATCGGCATCATCGGAGACCTGGTGAAGAAGGCCATCGGCTGGATCGTGGAGAAGTTCTTCAACCTCAAGGGGAAGTACGCCCTGAAGTCACGTCGCGGCGACGCCTTCAACCCGGCCGCCACCGTCTTCAATGTGAGTACTCGTCTTGGTGCTGGGCCCCAGCTGCTGCATGTCGTATATCTGGCCGTCGCTGGCTATCTTTTATAAGGGCCGTTGACGTTGACATTATGGCTGGAAGTGGAGGTGAGGGGAAAGAAGGAATGCAGCCAGTTTCACTGATGAAGGCCATTTCTAACCTTCACAACGCGTATGATGGGGCAGTTTATACTCACCAGTTCGACCTCATTGACTGCTTTTCATCCATATGTATTGGGCTTTTATAGAGCTTTCCTCCTGTAAATTAGCATGACGTGGTAATCTTCTCCGATCTTACCCTCGGCCAGTCGAATCAAGCGCTTACTTGATCGCTCCGGCTCCGCTCGGACGCCGGAAAACGGGGCAAGACACCCCGGAATCGCTGAACGATGCATTCCCACCACCTGCCGATAGGGACGCGGCGAGTGTAAACGACAGCCGACCCAGCCGATCCCATTTCGTTTGTTGGAATGCCCCGTGTCCAGCAGCGACACCCGAGCTCCACCGAACGCGGCCGCTGTACCGCGAGGTCCGCCAGATGTCACCACCAGCGGCTGCCGGCCGGCCAGCTAGGGCCACCGCCCGCCCGCCCGCCTTCCCATCCGCCCACCCTCCCTACCGGGTGGGCGGGACCTTTCGCTCCTGGCCGGCGCACCGATGCGTCAGAATTCAAGTATTTGTGGATGTCAAGTTCTTTAGACTTCGCGTAATCTCGGTGCCCCATTCATAGATGATTTAATTTGCCGTTGCTCTTGGTCCCCGTTGGCGCTTTGGCGGAGTTATTCCGGTTCCCATGGCACCTCTGCTGGGGCGATTCTGAACGCCGGCAGACGGTGTCAGGCGTGCCTGGCCGACCCCTGCCGCCGCTGGCACCGGTCTGTCACCGGCGGCCGGCGGACGGGCCGGCCGCCAGCCGCTGCCAGTCGTGCTCAGGTCGAGCGGCGGGCCGTCGTGACGTTTGGGATGCTCTTTCCTGGCAACATAGCTCAAATGGTTAACTTGTTATGCTGGGCGGCAATGTACGGTCTGCATGGCTGTAATGATGATCTGCTTTGATGTTAAGGCCATGCCGTGCTTCCTTTGAATCAGCATAGCTAGAATGGTAGCCCATTTTGGTGCTGGGGCGGGCTTTTATCAGAACGCAGGTCCAGTAACGAGCCATATGACGGTCTGGTGTTACCCATCCGACATCGTTTGCACGTTGGCTAGTAGGTGATGCGGCAGCGAATCTGTCACGGACTGGCGCTAGTTTGTGTTGACTAATTAGGGCCTCTGTTGCGCTACGTGCGTGTCGGACGAACGCCACTCGCTTGCGACACAACCAGCAAATCTAACTGATTTGCCGTTGATTCGTTAGATGAAAGTCTGATGCAGCAGTAATGGAGCTAATTATTGAATGATAAATTTTACGGCAAGCAGACTAAGCGTCGTCTTGTTTCGGCTCGTCCCCTGAATGAATGGCAGCAATTGCATCGTCGTCTGCGCTGCGCGGCCAGGGAAGGTCCGAATTGCCGCGGCGGGTGTTCTCCGTCTCTCCGTCCGTCCCTCGGCGTGACGTCTCTGCCCTGCGGCCAAGGCCAGACCACGGGACGGCCCCCCCCCCCCCCCGCCCCGGCCAGACGGAAGGCGATCGATGCCCGGCCACCGGCGCCCCAGTGGCAGAGCTCGGCCGGCCGCGTGCCCTCCCCGGCCATCTCTGTCCCGCGCTCCGCGCTCCTGGCAGCGGGGCGGCGCTGGCCTCGGTCCCAGCGGCCGCGGCCGGGGAGACGTCGATGCGGTGGACAGCGCCAGCTGAAGCCAACACACGGCCGTGTTTTGTGCTGCTGGCATGGACGCCGCGTCTCTGGGAGGCACCGCACCGTGACCCCCCCCCCCCCCCCACGGCGCACGCTTGTGTTGGCATCCCGCACCGGGCGCCGGGGTCGCAGCGTCATGTTCTGTCCGACGTCCGGGTCGCGCTGGTGGAAGGTGACGCCAGCATCAACACCGGCCATCAATTGTCACAGTTCTAAACCAGGTCGAGCAATTTTTAACGTTCCGTTGATTTGACATCGCTTGATTTTTAATTAACATTCCGCTTTACTGAAGCCGGACAAGCAGCTTAGTGGTGAACTGGTTAGCCGAAGGCATAATTGATTATATCTGACAGCAATCTGAGCTGAAAATGACTGGCAAGAAACAGTCGCATTGTTTTTCGCCGTAGTAGTGTGCATCGATTAGTGTCCTGTTGACCTTGTAATTGTGCCTTCATTTATTTCGGCAGGGCTGATCATTCGTCAGAGAACCAGTGACGTTTGCTAGAAGTAGCTCATTTGCTTGCAAGAAATGCACCATACCATTGGTGTAACTTTCGAACAAATTGAGGATGTAACTACATCCTCAGCAGGTCAGAAATTAACGCTAGCTCTATGGCATGTCGTTCATCTTGGGTTAACACTCAAGGTTAAGCCTAATAATGACATTCGCACCTCAGTTTTTAAAGGTTCAGTTCCGCATCGGACCAGCTTATGGTTTTCGCATATTTCAAGAAATGAAAAAGTCGTTCTTTCTCCCTCGGAGTGTTTCATAATCGGCGGCCGTGACGGGCGCGCGCGCGACGCTGACGCGGTGACCGTCGGTGCGCACGTCTGCCAGAACTTTCGTGACCTAAGGCTGCTGGTAGTGCTATTTCACACTCTTTACGTGCACGAAAAATGCTTCAGTTGAAATACCTGACGTGATTTGGGCAGCTGGGACAGCTGAACGTCAACAAGCCGCACGTGACATAATGGTGTCGGTATATGCCGCCAGATGCCCCGCTTTGTGATCAAATCATTTCAAGTTGAACCTGGCTTCATTTGCTCCACTACGATACTTGTATGACTCAGGACTGGTTGGTGACATACATCTGTAAGTTCTACGAAAGTTGGCAAGTCACGGTCCCTTGAGACGTAACCAATGTCGCCATGAACGAGAAAGCTCGGACCACCTGCCCACGTGAGTCTCTGCCATCAACACCCGCATATGCAAGTCATGTGGAGCGACGGGCGGGAACGTCCGCGAGCTGGGGATTTTTCGATGGCCGCCGGCCGGCCGGAGGCTGGACCGAAGGCCGCACTTGGCTTGGGCCGGGCCTCAAGGTCACATGCAGGGAAGTGACGGGCAGCCGTCCACCGAGGAATTTAAGTGCGCGGGCGATGCCGATGAGTTGTCCTCCTGGTTTACCGCTCACTGCTGCGGTCATGGATGCAGACAGGGGCTCACAGTTCCCACGACGGGCAATTCTGGCTGCGAGGTTACGAGGAAGGACAAAACTGCTGCGCATGACGCACCGCCGTGACAATGCTGGCGGAATTTTTGCCACCGCCGTACCGTTTGCACGTGATAACAGCGAATACCCTTCGGCTGATTCAGAGCGCTTGCTGCCGGATGTGTCGCTGCGTGCCAGCGGCGCCCCGTCAGGCATGATCAGCGGCAAGCGTGACCCGCTCCGCGAGCTCCGCCGGCGCCGGCGCCGCGGCCGGCCGTCTCGACGGTCAATGGCTGTCTACGTCGACTCGCCGCGGCGTGCCGCACCCCTATTTTTACCGACGGCTTCTAAACGCACGGCCGTGGCGCGGCGCTGTTGATACGATGGAGCAGTGGCGGCAGGCGACGTCTCGCCGCTTGTGCCGGCCGTGAAGGTCGGCCCGAGCCGCCATAAACAGACGGGCGAGAACGCCTCTGCCCGCGCCGCCATAGTCCAGGATCAGGCCGCCAGGGGTCCGGGGCGGTGGCAGCAGTCAGCTGGCTATCGGGCGGATCTTGCGCGTCCCCGACTGCGCGCACGCGGCGTCCCTTGGATGGAAGCGCGGGAGTGACATCCGTGATTCACTTCGGGTGTGGGCGGGGCACTGGGCGAGTACGGTGGCGCACTGCAGTGCCGGGTCGATACCCGTGACCTTGGCCGCAGGAGGGGTGGCCCTGAGGCTTGTGAACGTGGCTCGTGCGGTTCAGAAGTGGGTTAGTGGCTGTGTCTGGCGCTGCAGGCTGTGAGCGGAGCTTTGGTAGCTTGAAAGGACTGTGGTAACAGCGACCGGTGCGGGATTTTTTGGCTAGTTGTATTCGTCGTAGCAGTCCGAGCGGATCGTCGGTGCAGTGAGTCGTCCAGTTTGCTGGAAAACGTGTGGACAGCTGTGATAACGCGCCGCCTGTGGAAGTTGTGGACGGCCACCTTCGCCGTCTTCCGGCTGTAGTTTGACCTCGGGTCTCAAAAGAACGTTCTCAGAATGAAGGTCACAGACGACTTGAGTGCCGTCGCAGGCTCGAACGCCGCGGGCGTTGATGAGTCCGACTCGTTGACGAGCGATGATGAGGACTCGTCCTCGGGCTCGGGCTCGTCCTCAGGCTCCTCGTCCGAGGCGGGAGAGGAGCCAGAGGAGCCGGAAGAGCCGGAGGAATCGGAGGAGCATGAGGAGGCAGAAGAGGAAGAGGTGCAAGAGGATGAGCTTGTGGAGGTGGAGGAGCAGGAGGTGACGGCGGAGATCCGTGAGAGCGTGGTTGCGGCCCAGCGGCACACGTGGTGTGACAACCCGGACCACTTCCACTACCAGCGCTCGCACCAGTACCAGGTGGCGCTGGGCATCAGCTCCAAGCTCGACAGGCTGCGCTCGAGCGTCGCCGGGAGGTTCGGCCGGCAGACGGCGTCGGTAAGCTGGTGCCGTTGGCTCGTGGTATTCAGCAATGACGTCATGATTCGGACTAGGTTGCCGCCCACGTTCGGGCGGCAACCTATCGCTACCGACGTCCTGCCATGTTTACGCGACGGCGACAGCCCGCCCACGTGAATGAAGTCACAGTAGCAGACCCAAACAGTTGTCACCTTCGTTCACAAAGCTCCACAACCCAAACGAATTCCGCCGGCAAAATGAGAAGTGCCGTCGGTGGATTCTCGGCAATCATTAAACGCCTTGTTCCGTCAGTGTGCTGAAATCAAAAATACTGCAGAATTGCGTTTTTGGTGGCTTCCTGCTTCTGTT